TTGCTTTTGGAGGTGACTTCGATATGATGTTGGCCCTCTACTTGCTTTTGAGCACCACTTTTTTCTTTCCTCTTTACAGTAGAATTTTTTGTGCGACCTGGAAAATCCGATTTGCGGGATCTGCAACACGCGTGGATGGGCGTAGCCAGATTTTGGAATTTTGGCAGCCCAGCACAGCCGGTCGACACACCACTACCAACGACGCAGCTCTGAGGCCGCTGTAACAGCATGGCTGGTTCTTTTTCAACACGCAATAGCATCGTTACATGCCTGTAGCTCACTGATCATGTTCATGCTCACCGACGCCGATGTGGTCCTGCCAGAAGATCAAACAGGATGTCTTCCCGAAGAAGGCAGCACGGCTTTTGGATAGACGCGAGCGAGGCGGTCTGACTTCAGATGCAGGCTCTGCTGTTGGTCAACGGGAGCTCGGGCCTCCTCGTCTGGCAAGCATGGCGCGCTCTGCTCAACTCATTTCGAAAAGCTCAACACGCGTCTCGCTGTTGCGTGTGTGTCTTTTCCTTCGTTGATCTGGCCGTCTGAAAATTTTCGAAATTGCCGTATTCAAGGTGAGTCGTTGCCGTATTAAAATCTGGAGCAAGGGCGTATATGATCACTACTAGACCTGATAAGAACTCTGGACTGCTCGATTTCAAATTTGAAGCTTTGGATCGCAGCTGAGCAGTTTCCAACCTGCCGTCGCGCCTTGTGTTTTTGCATGGACCTCAGCTCAACTGCCAGCCGTTCGAGGTCGGGTGTGATTGTCTCGCGCTGGCTGATTGCACACGCTGCAAAGCGAAAAACGATCAAGCCAGTCAGTCACTCAAGTCAGCTCAGCCAGTCAAAGGGGGCCCAGCTGAGCAGCAAACCAACATCGGAACTGCTCAGCAAGCGCTCCTCGCCGTCGCATCCGAGCCTATCGCCGTGGCTGCAATTCTACATCTCTCAACACCATCATCTCCGTCCATCTCGCTGGTGTCTGCTCACGTTTCAACAGCAGCCCGACACCACGATTTAGCACCAGCACTGCCTCGTTCTCGTTTCCTTCTCTCAACTCGACGTGATCCGACCCTTCGCTTCATCACACAGTTTCGTCTGGGTCTGCCCGCCCACCTTACTCCGCCCTTCTCATCCTCCTCAAGCGTCAGCAAAGGCTTCTCGACTGCTTCTCATCTTGTTGCTCTGCAGCAGATTCGAATCGATCTCGCATCAGCGCAATAACAAGTGCTGACATCGGACGCATCCCCACCCACTGCGTCGACGATACATTTGGCAGCGATCTTGGAATCAGCACGACTTCGACTCAGCTCAAATCAGCGCCTTACTTCCGGCACTGAATACGTCTCTTCTGCAGTGCTTCTCTTGCCTCTGTAGCGAGATCACGCTCGGTGTTCTCGATTCTTCCAGTCGCAAAGCAGCTTAACGCTTCCCGAAGCTTCCTACACCTTTCTTTGTCCGTAAGTAGTCCACACCAACAACTTTTCCGCAGATCCATCAGCAGCGAACCGCCACGTGCATCAGGACCAGGGAAGCAGCAGGGGTCGGCACGGAGGTCTTTCGCGGCGATGCACGCGTCTTAGGCAGCGAACGTAGGACCGTAGGGACCTGGACACCACTTCTCGATCTGACGGCTCTCCAGCGAGCCGCTAAGGCAACATCAATCGATGCTCTTTTGTGCCAGTCGCGCAAAGCTTTATGCCGAGCTGGAACGGCGGATCGACAATGCTGCTCGGCGTCGCCTTTCTCGCAGGATCGCATCACGTCTGCGCAGCTCTCGAATGTCCATAGGATCAGTCCAGCTGACTCTGCTCTCTGCCCTCCCCACTCCTTCCGTTCCACACATCCTGCTTTTTCGACCACCCCTATTTCGACTGCATCTCTGTATGCACTCGGCTTTCGATCGACCTCGATCCTTCTCACCCTCATATTGCACACCGCAGGCCGCTTCACACATAGCACAATGGCCGACAACACAACGCCAGAGGTCGATCTCGACAACGTCATCGACCGTCTCCTAGAGGTGCGCGGCTCGCGACCAGGCAAGCCCGTCCATCTCGAAGAGTACGAGATCAAGTACCTCTGCTTGAAGGCGAGGGACATCTTCATTAACCAGCCCATCCTTCTTGAGCTCGAGGCACCCATCAAGATCTGCGGTGATATCCACGGTCAATACTACGATCTGTTGCGATTGTTCGAGTACGGTGGTTTCCCTCCCGAGGCGAATTACCTCTTCCTTGGTGACTACGTCGACCGTGGAAAGCAGTCGCTCGAGACCATTTGCCTCCTCCTCGCATACAAGATCAAGTACCCCGAAAACTTCTTCATCCTCCGTGGCAACCACGAGTGCGCCAGCATCAACCGAATTTACGGCTTCTACGACGAGTGCAAGCGTCGATTCAACATCAAGCTTTGGAAGACGTTCACCGACTGCTTCAACTGCCTTCCCATCGCTGCCATCATCGACGAGAAGATCTTCACCATGCACGGCGGCCTTTCGCCCGACCTGCAGAGCATGGAGCAGATTCGACGTGTGATGCGACCCACCGACGTACCAGACACCGGCTTGCTCTGCGACTTGCTCTGGTCGGATCCTGACAAGGACATCTCTGGATGGTCGGAAAACGACCGAGGTGTCTCGTTCACATTCGGTCCCGACGTGGTCTCCCGTTTCCTGCAAAAACACGACATGGATCTCATCTGCCGAGCGCATCAAGTCGTGGAAGACGGCTACGAGTTCTTTGCCAAGCGACAACTCGTCACATTGTTCTCGGCGCCGAATTACTGTGGAGAGTTCGACAACGCAGGTGCCATGATGAGCGTCGACGAGACGCTGCTCTGCTCGTTCCAGATCCTCAAGCCAGCGGAGAAGAAGCAAAAATACGCATACGGTGGAATCAACATGGGCCGTCCCGTGACGCCCCCTAGGAAGCAAAAGAAGAAGTCGGATGGCAAGTAAGCGGGCGCGCGCTCGGGGACGAGGGTTGAGGGCGGGCTGAGAGGGCGAGAGCGAACGGCGCCGGTGCTGGTGAAGGCGAGCAAGCTTTTGGCGGTAGACCTTACAGCGCGCGGGCGGCAACACCACACGAGGCATGGCTAGCACACCAGCAAGCACATTTAGGAAGGGCACGTTCGGCAAAGCTTGAGGATCCACCGTATCATACACTCGCCTGCCATAACCGATTTGGCGACACTACGCGCTCTGTTGGCAGCCGCACCTGCTTCAGGCTCCCCTCAAGTATCTCGGGATCGAAGCTTAAGCGTCTCGACGATGTTGGCCTTCCACCACCGTTCACCGCTTTCACGGCTGTACCAATGCCATCACAGTCGCTGTCGCATTGTCCATCCTCGTCTGTCCACCATACGCCGCCATAATCGCCTACGATCCTCCCTGTATCCGCTCTCCACCTCTCTACCCTCGCTTTCCCCCTCTCACGGTCTTTGATTCTCTTTCCTTTCTTTTCTCTCCCTCTTGTTACTGTTCAATTTACTTTTGTTGCGATGCAAATTCGAATCATGACCTCTCCAATGTCGTGTTCACTGGAATCCTCCTTGTCAAGCAGTGTGTGCTTTGCCCGTCGTGAAGCCCGTCTTCTGAAACAGGGATATCGTCGTCGCAGCCAACAGACGAATGAAGCCAGAGAGGATAAACATGTGCATTGCGTTGCGTGAACTCGAAGTTTGTGAGCGATCCATCCTTGCGAGCTGGTCTACTTAGCGCCGTTCCTATCCCGGACCATCCCAGCGGCCTGATTAGCGACCTTCGGCCCTAGCCCTTGGCCCAACCCAGCCTTGTCCTCTGTGCTACCGTTGCCGATGCGGCCCCAGCCGGGTGCGTTAGACTCGACGTTCTGCTGCCAGCGCGAGATGAGCGATGAGACGCCTTTGAACCGCTCATCGTCTCCCCCGGCGCCATTGCGGGGTGCATCCTCCTGTTCATCTTCGCGTCCGTGGAGGCGGGTAGTAGAGGCAGCGGGGAGGGCAGAGTTTTTGACAATAGCCCCCTTGGATGCTGCTGCAGACTGCGCTGCTTCCCGCTCCCACGGCTTCAAACCGCCAGCACCTGAGGTAGACACGCTGTAACCCCTAAGGTGCGAGCCCTTTGCTGGACGGATAGGCGTCGGTCTCTTCGGCTGAATCACCGCCGGTTCGGAAGCTTGGGCAGCGGGAGAGGCGTACTGCTGCGAGCGCTGCGCAACGATGCTCGACGGACGCATGGCAGTCGGTGCATGACGTTCTGGCTCCGTTTCAGACGCAGGGGTGATCGAGAATGAACCGAACTTGTCCTTGACCGACTCGACGGGCGACGGGATGGATGCGGGCGACGTAGCTGCATCCACGAGGTCCTTTCGCTGCGAAGGTTGCGCCTGTGACTGGGAGGGGTTCCACCGCGAGGCGACGCTCGAAGAGGACGGCTTGTTGGCGGGAAGGACAGGAGCGTACGCGACAGCGGGAGGCGAGGTCTTGCGCTCCTCTGCGCTGGTGCCGTTCGATCGACCAGTCTGGAGATCGGGCTTTGGCAAAGCACTCATCTCCTTCTCGTCCTCCTCATCGTCATCGTCCCACGCGGGCGCTTTGACCTTGACCACTGAGGGCAGCGTCGGGCTTTGCTCGTCCACCTCCTCTTCCTTCGTAGGAGCCTCGTCAGCCGGTCCACGCAGCAGCGCCTCGAGCTGATCCTGCGCCTGTCGCGCCGCCTCATCCAGCTGCTCTGCTGCTGTAACGTCCGTGATCGGCGAAACGAGTTCCGCTGCGGGCGACTTGAGCGACCCGCCAAGCCCGCCACTGCCGATGCTTGTGATGGAGGAGGAGGACATGAGACGTTCAGCGGCGGTAGGCGAGTCGACCGCGTCGACCAGCCAGGAGGGAGCTTTGACCCGACCGGCGGTGATGCGCGGTCGTTCGGGCTTGCTCGTCTTGCTGTCGGTGCTCTGCTCCTGTGACTCTGGCTGCGATGGAGCGGACGACGCGGAAGCACGGCTTTGGAAGGAGGAGAGCCGATCGGCGCCCAGACGCGGCGGAAGATTGGGTCGCTGCGCAACCGCTTCCTCCGGTCCAGCCTCGCCTTCGTCTGACGAAGGCTCGTCCACGTCGATCTCCTCCCCGGCGTCGAGCTGCTTTTTCGCGTTGCTCGGAGCTTGTGGCTTGGTCGCGTAGATCTTTGTTTCTGTCTCCTTGTCTTGCGCGCGGGCCGCAGGCTTGGTGTCGTCCTCATCTGACACGTCGCCAGTGAGCCAGTCTTTCGAGGGTTGTGCCTTGCTATCCGACGGCGCGCTTGGAGGCTTAGAGTCCTTGCTCTGGCCGATCTGATCATGCGCAATGATGGAAGGTTGCCAGCGCTTGGACACACTGCCTGCACGAGGTTTGCTGTCCGCGGTAGAGAAGCCAGAGATGGTGGCAGACTTGTGGAGCGGTGCTCGGCCCGAACCGACTCGTTGCGGCTCGAACGGTCGCTCGAAGCGCCCAGCCATGGCGCCGACGCTGGCGCGGTTGGCGAGGCCAGGCACGTTGACGGCATTGCGGGTGCCGGACGGCGCGGATGTAGGAGCACTCGAATCGGACGAGCTCGACACAGGCGCGGTGATGGACGCTGGAGTGGCGTACTTGGCATCGAGATCCTCCAGGCTGGGGAATCGGTCGGTGAGCTCGTCGCGCGGTGTTCCGCTCTTTTGTTCCGCCGCTGGCGCAGGTGCGTCTCTTGAGGTCGTGGCTGGAGGGGGAGGTGTAGAGATAGGGCTTGGAGCGACGTTGAACCCGGGCAGAGCGGGGCTGTGCCGAAGCGGCGAGAGGGCAGGTGAAGGGCCGTTGGAGGAAGCACGGAGGAGGTTCTTGTCCAGAGGTCGGTCTGTAGTCTCGCCACTCGCTGCAGGCGAGAGAGAGGAGGGCGACGGTCGCTTTGGCAGCACGGGCGGGCTTTCCGTGGATCGCTTCGAGACGACAGGCGAGCTCTCGGCGTTGCTGTCGCTCGAAACCGGCGCAAAAGAGTCGCCGAATCCTTCGATCAGAGGTCCCGTCTTGACGGACAAAGCTGGCTTCTCAGGCACGCTCCACAGAGGCGCGGGTTTGGTCGAGGTCTCTGCTTTCGATGGTGCAGGGGAGCTGGCCTTGGGGACCTCTTCTTCGAATCTCCTCACGGGCGAGTCCACACTGCTAGCTGCTGGCTTGTTAGGCCTGCCCCTTCGCATAGGCGTGATGCTCTGCGCCTGCAGCTCGAGCTCGCGTGCTTCGGCCTTTTCGAGCTCCTTCTTGGAAGGTCCCATGGATATGAGGTTGGCATCGATGCCGCCGACAGGCTTCGACCTGCCGGGCAAAGACGGTGGCGCATCGGAAGCGGACGGCACCTTGGCTCCACGGAACACCGTGGGTAGAGGCGTGGCGATCTTTCCGCTGGCAGCTGCGTTTGCATAGTGAAGTGCGGCCTGTGGAGGGCGTGTGCCGAGGATCTGATGAACGTGGATGATGACCTGATCGATGGTGGGGCGATCGGTGCTCTGCTCCTTGAGCATCGAGTGAATGAGCTGTTTGAGACGATCGGAATAGACGGGCTGTGGCGGGATGCGATACTGCACGTTGAGGATAGCCAATGGTCCGCCGCCGTTCTCTTCGAATGGAGTGGTGTAGTAACAGAGCTTGTAGAGAAACACACCGAGAGCCCAAATGTCGGCCTTTTCGTCAATGACACGGCGCTGGTAAACGTCGACCATCTCAGGAGCCCGGTACTGCAAAGTGGTGTGCTTGTTGAGATCGGCTTCGACGCGCTTGACTTCGTCCATGCTCCTTGCGGGCTTGCGTGAGAGAACAGGCGCAGCGGACCCAAAATCGCACAGCTTGAAGGTGGCTTTGAGGTTGGACGAGGTGGAGCGCGAGCCAGGAATGGTGCCAGGATCGGTGGAGGGAGCCATGAGGATGTTTTCGACTTTGAGATCACGATGCATGAGCGGCGGGTCGAGATGATGCATGACGGCGACACCTGCGCAGACGTCGCCAAAGATCTTGAGCACCTCTTCTTCTCGTAGTCGATCGCGCAAACGAGCATTCATGAGGCTGATGATACCGCCTCCCGAGCAGTACTCCATGAGGATAAAGATCTCGTACCCGCCACCTTGTAACGCTGTCGCAGAGGCCTCGATGAAGTGGACAATGTTGGCTTGGTTGCGGAGCAATTTGTGCACCTCGACCTCCCTTCTGACGTCTGCAAGTGCAGCCTTGTCGGGAACAGCCATGCGTTTGAGGACATGGACGGTCTCACCGCGCTCTGCAGTAGCGCTGTTGGCCATAGATGCACCGACGGTGCCTGTGACGGAGGAAGGCATGGGAATGGGCTGGGAGGTGGTGACGAGATAGACGTGGGCGAAACCCCCCTCGGAGAGGTAGCGCTTTACAGTGACGGTGATGTTGCCGACCATGACTTTGGTGCCTGGTGCGAGGGTGCCTTTGTAGGGCTGCTGGTAGGCACCACCACCGCCCATCTGTATCTGTGGCATAGATTGCTGTTGCTGCGGCTGTTGCGCATATCCGGCGTGTGGTGGTGCTGCACTCCGCTGGCCAGCATGTGGATGCATCTGGGCTTGGTAAGCCTGGCCATATTGCGACATGATCTAGCCGCTGCGGCGTTGTGAGCCCCAGCCGATGCGCTACTGTTTGCGTATCGATGATGACAGCAAGATTGGTGTTGTGTCGACCAATCCCAGAAGCAGATCAATGGTGTGGAAGGTGGTGCAGGTGTTGGAGGAGGACCATGCCAAGCTCGGCAAGGTCGGCAAATTCGAGGTGGCTCGTGTGTTGAATGTCACACATCTGTCTCACCTGTCACTTCACCGTCCAGAGGGGCTGTGCGTGTGGGAGGCTTCTCGAGCTGCATCTCGTCTAGCACCCTTACTTGGGCTGTAACATTTATATACGCTACTGAGCTCCAGCTGATCACGTGAGCATTGATAGTGTAGGGGTATCATGAGTCGTTGCCAAACTCATCGTCTTGACCGAGACGTGACTACCGATTCGACTCGACCGGGGTTCGAGTCCCCGTCAATGCATTCTTTTTGCTTATTTCTTCTAAACTTGCTTGGCTGTCGCGGATCCGAGTTGCTCAGACCCGTTTTGACCTTCAGGGTCGTCCAAGGTGCTGCATGCAGGCTTCATTCTTCCTCTTTCTCTCTCTCTCTTCTTACACATCTGACCCCATCTCGCTCGCCACCGACAGTCCTTACAGCACAGCTCGTAACAACCGCACAGTCCCTACACCATGTCGGAAGGTAAGCTCTAGCCCAGCAAGACGTCCAGGTACCCTGGCCACGAACGATTGCTGACCCCGAGCGTCTCATTTGTGCTCTGCAGTCGACCGCAACGAAGACAACTCGCACTACGTCGACAGCTACGACCGCGACCACGATCGCGACGCCATGACGCAGGATCGAGCTCGTTCTCGCTCGCCTGTCGCTGGCGCTGCTCCTTCTTCCGACCGACGCGACCGTGATCGATCGGATCGCTCCGACCGTCCTCGCAACTTTCACGATCGTGCCGTGGCATCGCAACACGCCGCCACCGAAGCTTCAAGAAAGAGTCAGAAGGACTGCAGGGTCTACGTTGGGAACCTCAGCTACGGTGTCAAGTGGAACACGCTCAAGGACTTTATGAGGGAGGGTGCGTAGTCAGACATGGTTTCCGACATGCTTATTTTGAACATCTCTGTGCGGCTCAGGCAGCGAGCTTGGGTTCAGTGCTGGGCGAGGAGAGACATACTTCGGCATCGCCCAGTGACGACATCCAGCACGACAGCTGGCCGACGAGAGCAGAGTGTAGAGTCCGGATGGATTGCTGATGGGAAGGTTTTGCGCTTTTGACTTGGTCGGGATATTGTGGGCTTTACAACAAACATTGAATCGACTTGCACGTCGCATTCGTACTCTCAACCGGCCACTTTCATCTCTCGACATCCGATATTTACAGCTGGCAATGTCGTCTTCTCGGAAGTGCTCACTCTTCCCAACGGAAGCTCCAAGGGCTGCGGGTAAGTCTCGACGCGACTGACGAACCTTCGCACATGGACGGGAACTCGACTAACACTGTCGCCTGCGTACGTGTCATCGTGGACTCCTACGGCTCGATCAACCACAGCATCGTCGAGTACAGCTCTCCCGAAGAGGCACAGAGGGCTATCAGCTCGATGACCAACAAGCAGCTCGAAGGCCGTCAAGTGTTTGTCCGAGAGGTATGTTCAGGCTTCCACCGTGATCTTCACACCGTCACGATCACATCTGACGTCCGGGTGCCTTCCTTACCTTTTGACTTCAATAGGACCGCGAAGACGAAGTGAAATATGGCAGCACGCCTGGTGCGCCCCCTCGCGGTGGTGGCCGTGGTGGCTTTGGTGCAATGGGCGGTCGAGGAGGCTACGGCCCTCCCGGCCGCGGTGGCTTCTTCGGCGGCCCTCCTCCGCCCCCCTATGGCGGATTTGCCGGTGGCGCACCCACACAACTCTTCGTCACCAACCTGCCCTACGATGTCAGCTGGCAAGATCTCAAGGACCTCTTCCGATCGGCGGGCAATGTCAGTCGCGCCGACGTCAACATGGGACCCGACGGCCGCTCCAAGGGAACCGGTATTGTTGCATTCGCCAACTCGAACGACGCATCTAACGCCATCGCCATGTACCACGGGTACGACTTCCGCGGGCGCATGCTCGAGGTGAGGCTGGACAAGTTCGCCGGTGCTCCCCCCATGGACCCCTACGGTCGAGGCGGCTACGGACCCCCTCCTCGTGGTGGACGTGGTGGCTTCGGTGGTGGATTCGGTGGTCGCGGTGGGTTTGGTGGCCGAGGTGGCTACGGCGGTGGATATGGTGACCCGTACGGTGGTGGCTATGGAGGTGACCCCTACGGTGGTGGCTACGGTGGTGGATACGGTGGAGGCTACGGCGACCGACCCGCACCCGCAGCGTACGGCGGGCGACCCACGGGACCTGCAGCAGCCTCTCGCCCCGCCGCACCACCGGCCCCGCCCTCGCAACAGATCTTTGTCAGGAACCTGCCTTGGTCGACGTCGAACGAGGACCTGGTGGAGCTGTTCCAGACCACAGGCAAGGTAGACGAGGCCGAAATCGTGTTTGAAGGCGGCAGGAGCAAGGGCGTCGGTATCGTGCAGTTCGCGACCGTCGAAGATGCCGAGACGGCCATTGCCAAGTTCAACAACTACGTCTACGGTGGTAGGCCGCTGGACATTGAGTTCAACCGCCGCTGGAACAACTTCCGCCAGGGCGGTGGTGGCGGTGGAGGCAGTGGAGGAAGCGTCAACGGTGGCAACGACGGCGATGTGGCAATTGCCGAGGCTTCGACGCAGGACTACCAGGACAACGGTGATGCTGGCGATGCGCCAGTCCCCATGCAGGGTGAGACAGCGTGAATGGATCTGCTGCTCTAGAATAATCGGAAGCATCATCTCTCTCACCGTTCAACCGCGTTGGACAAGGCCACATAATGCCATGGGCCTCTGCACCCTGCTGCGCAGCCGTCCTTATAATCATATGTCCAGATTTCGATCCCATCGTCAGTCCGATAAACTGCGAGCATCAGTGACAGACTCAAGTGACGGCAGGCTCGAGAAGAAACGTAACATTTTCCTGTGGTTGTGAGATCGACAGGAGAGAGACGCTGGCAAAATTCGCGGTTTGAGAAAGCGTCGAGGCGGGAAATGCAGCATGACGTTGGAATCGTTCGCTCCTGCAGCGCCGCTCGAATCGGACCGCTTTTGTTGCAAACCACAGTCTTGGACTCGGATCAGGATCAGAGGGGTCTTCGGCTCAGGCATTGCACCCTGTCTGCCAGCCAGAAGGAATGGCCACGTTTTGGTTTCGAACCGAGTGCCCCTTGACAGGGCACACGCCTGCTCACTGTGTTGCGAGTTGCACAAAGCGCTAAGATGAAGCCGATGTAGCTGATCAGTGCTATCAAAACATTTAATCGATGGATCGACGCTCCGAAGCACACTCGCCCTGATGCACCGAAGTGTATGCTGAACAGATTCGACGGACCGACACGCATCGCATCAAGTGCAAGTTGATCACAGGCCCAAGCTGCTTGGATCGGGTATCGATATCGCTGCGGCAGAGTGGGTGCAGCGAGCAGCATCGGAGGCAGAGGATGCGCACATCCTGCATCGACACGCTTTGCAAACAAACACAGAGGAAAAGTGCGTTCAAAGCAAAAAATTCCAGGGTGCACGCTCCATGCGTCTCTTGTTCTTCTCGCCGATCCACACAGGCCAACTTCCACTTTGGCGAAAAACTGACAGCTGCTTGACCCTGCTCCAGCTGAAATCACAGATCGACACAAGCAACAGATGGGTCGTCCAGCATCGCAGGATTCTATATAGGCCTTTCAACGCATCCAACCTTCCGTTCCTACCAACATCATCCTCGTATCACCCTCCGAAACGTAGAATAGCCACCATGTCGCACCTCAAGTACGCCGATGCCAAATATGTCTTCCTTACCGACTTTGACGGTACCATCACCCTCCTCGTAAGTTGTTCATCCATGCTCTGTCTGCCATCATTGAGCTGTTGCTGACTTTCTTTTGCTCATCTTCATTGCGCGCGTGCAGGACTCGAACGACCACATGGTTGACACTGTCGGCATGGGCTACACCGAGCGAAGAAAGATCAACGTCGAGATTGTCGAGGAGCGCGTCAGCTACCGCGAGGGTTTCAAGCAGATGATCGAGTCGGTCCACCGTCCTTTCAAGGAGATGGAGGAGCTCGTCCGACGCGACGTCACCCTCGACCCTGGTTTCAAGGAGTTCTACGCCTTTGCCAAGGCCAACAACATCCCCGTCATCATTGTCTCGTCCGGCATGACGCCCATCATCCGCAGCATCCTCTCCAACCTCATCGGTGAGAAGGACGCCAACGAGATCGACGTCATCTCGAACGAAGTCAACTTCACCGACCCCGAGAAGGAGGGCAAGACGTGGGAGCTGATCTACCGTCACCCCGACAACCACTTTGGTCACGACAAGTCGCTCTCCATCGCCCCTTACCGTGAGCTCAAGAACCGCCCCACGCTCTTCTTCGCCGGCGACGGCATCTCGGACATGTCGGCCGCCCGCCACGCCGACGTCCTCTTCGTCAAGGACAAGCAGGACAACGACCTGGCCACCTACTGCAAGACCAACAACATCCCCTACCACCTCTTCCGCGACTGGACCATCCCCAAGAAGATGCTCGAGCAGATCATCGCCGGCGACCTCAAGATCGAGGATGTCAGCGGAAAGAGCTCCGACAACGGCGACTTTTCCAAGGCATAGACGCCATCCCATCGGGATTGCTCATGCGTAGGACCGCCTCGTTGAAAGAGTAGACGCCTCGCATAACCGCACATACGGCTCTTGTAATCTTATTCTTATTCACCCTTGCTTGAAAAGCCAAAGCATAGATTGGACCGCGTCGACCTGCTTGATTGGTATCGCACACGGGAGAAGCACACTCTTCACGCGGACGACACATTCCGGTTTCTGAAAGCGAATGCGATTGCAAGGAACGACTCGACCCATGCAGTGGAACCTCGTCTCTAGCCCTTGTTCTTATCGTTCTCTGTAATAACCAACGCAGTCAGCACGAGCAGAATCGTCGTCGGCGCAGCCAAGAACGTATACGCAGCAAAGATCGTCTTGGAGATCAACCTTTCGAAGCTCGGGTTGCCCTGCGCCGACTGGCTGGTGATCTGCGCCAGCGTCAGTGCCGGTGGGGAGCCAATGATGAGGCATGCGCAGGCGACGAATACAGGGTCGTCCATGACGTTGCTCGCCGTGGCCATGGCGTACCACGCTACGAAGGGGAGCAGGATGAGCGGCGTGAGGATCATGCGCGACGAGATGGCGACGGCGATGGTGCGTCGCTCCATGGTCGTCGCCGAGGCCTGCTTGGTGAGCGCGTTCTGGTGACGACCCGCCGAGTTGCGGCTGTTGAGGTCGGCGTTGCGCGCGGCTTCGTCGTTGGACGCAGAGGTGGTGGGGACGGTGTAAGATGAGGGCTCGTCGGTGTAACGTGCACCTCCTTCTTCGATGTCCGACCCGCCGTTGGAGGACGAACCGCTGTTCCAGGGATTCCAAGAGCCGAGACCTTTGCGCTTGTAGTCCTTCTGTTGCACCAGCGTCGACTCGCCGGAAACAGTGTTGGATTCGAGAGACTGTCTGCGCCAGGGATCGTCGCTCTCGCTGCCGCTGCCTGCTCCGTTGACAGGCTTGCTCGTCGAGTCAGGTGCAGTAGGCTGAGGGCCGGTCGCCGACGTCGATCCGTCGCCTGCAGGTGCGCTCGGAGGGACCGCCTTGGGGATGTCACCCTGAGCCTTTTGCAGCGCAGAAGCGTCGGCAACAAAGTAGGCGCCGAGGACCACCATAGTCAGCGGGATACTGCAGGCACCTGCCGTCTCGAGCGCACCTACGACCGGCTCGAGCGAATCGATAAACTTTTGCAGAGGAGGAATGACGGCCACGACCAGCGAGATGACGGCCGCGTACAGCGGTGCGGTCATGAATCCAGCAACGGCAGAGAGCGGACGAAGGATGAGGTTGTGAAACCACTTGTACGTCGTTGTCGTAAACACCTTCCAGCAGGAGCGGTTCTCGCGGCTGTTGCTGGCACCGGGCAAGGTGATCTGGCCCTCCTCCTCGTACGGCTCCAAAGGCTCGTCTTCGACATCCGAGTCCCGATCGTCTTCGCCTGGCACTGCCCTATGCTGTCTAGCTCTTGCTTCGGGCGAGTTGGGAAAGCTACGAGCCCATGCTGGGGGACCGGTGCGTTTGCGCTCGGGTCGGCGTCGCTCGCCGGTGGGTCTGCGAAGGGTGATCTGCGGACGCTGGTGGTGGTTGTCGGTCTCGCTGGTAGATGAGGCCGGGCTGGGGTGCTCGGGTGCATCTGTGGGGTCGTCTGATACGTTTTCCTCGACGCTGCTGAGGAGCTTGGCGCCGACACTCCATCGAAGGAACATGCCGAGAGTGCTGAAGAGGACGAGGTAGGTCAGTGCTCGACCGAGCATGCCGTCGACCGTGTCTTCTGGCTCTCCCTCCTCGTCCCAATGCAGTTGCGGGACAGTGACGACGAGCGACTGCATGAGCGCAACAGGAAGCGAGTTGGAATTGGGCGAGATGGCGCAAGCGATGGCAAAGTTACGCTGCGCCGGGGAGAGCCTTGCCGTCCAAGACAGGACGAGGGCACTGAGCGTGGAGATGACCGTAACGATGACGAAGCCGAGCGGTACAATGATGAGCTCTGCCAATCGAGCTGGATTGAGCGTGAACGCCACCTTGGAGAAGAGCAGCGCTGGCGTGAAGAACGAGACGTTGAGCTTGTTGATCTTTGTCTGTGTTCGTTTATCGATGATGCCTCTTCTAGCGAGGATGAAGCCGACCGAGGAGAGGATGACGACCTCTAGAATGGAGGAAGCGGTGACCTTGACGAGGCTGAGGATGGGGGCGCCGCTCTGACCATGTTCGATGTATTGCGCCGTAGGCAGCAGAAGCGAGTGCCTCATGTTGGGGAGCGTCTAGGCACTGCCGCGATCGGCACGCTCTGTAAGGTGGATCGGATCTCTGCGATGGATGGTTAGCAGGGGTATATGAGCGAGCAGGGGAGGACTCGCCAGGTTGCTTGCCGGATTGATGCTGGTGGTATACAGTCAACAAGTGATAGCGGTGCGTGGATGTCAGCGTGTCAACCTGTGCGACAAGGGAGGATGATAAGGAGGCTTGCGGCGGCGGTGTCATGCTCGGCTGAGCTTCGTTGCTGCATGTCTCACAGAATTGTCTTCGGTTTTGGAATTTGGCAGCTCAGGCTGAAATCGCTCGCTCCGTCATGTGGCATGGCCCCGCTCACTCTCGGCACTCTGACTCTGTTCGCATTCCATCAGCAGACCTGTCAGAAGGCGGACCATAACGAGCCGACATCGGAGACTCGAGCTGGCCAAACCTGATGGGTTGGCGCCAAGACAAAAATCGAAAGCATGAGCCTTGCTAAGCTTCTCGACGAGTCGATACTGGAAGACCCTTGGCGAAGCTTAGACAGAAGAGCGCAACGATGACGAGTGAGAGCCTAAGTTACTCCACAGCGTGCGTGTGCCAAATCAAGATTTCCAAGAGACAACTTCGCACGTCCCCTCTTTCGATCCGCATCAATTGCTATCCACTCCTCTTCCCGATCATAGGCTCTGACAATCGCTTCCACCAGTGGTAGTGGGGCAAAGAGATACTAGTCGTATCGCGACTTCTGTCTCGTCGAAAAGATGGAAAAGATAAAGAAAAAAGAATGCATTGACGGGGACTCGAACCCCGGTCGAGTCGAATCGGTAGTCACGCCTTATGCAGGCGATGAGTTTGGCAACGACTCATGATACCCCTACACTATCAATGCTTGTATGTAGGTACGGTCAACTTATGCATACATGTATGTGATGTTGATTCCTCGGTAGACAAGACAAGTCGAGCACGGACCACAAGTTGCTATTCGCTGATCGAGCAGTGGCGAATCAACCAGAAATCCCAAGCTCGCAGCGCGGAAATGCCGGGGCAGCCAGCCAGCCGGTGAGGATATCACGCGAAGAAATCCAAGCAAAAAAGGTGAGTTGCTTGCCACGCCAAATCACGCACTCACTCATTCACCCGCTCAGTCCATCACTGAGCGCGGAGATAGAGTCAGCCAGTGGTGCGCAGCCTGGCTCGTTCGCAATGTCACTCAAAATATATACCGAACAGAAGTCCCGCTTTCTTGACTACCATCAACCACCACCACACCGCTCCCCCGCATCCTCCATCTCAAATCATCCACCATGTCCGAGCACACTCTCCCCAAGCTGCCTTACGGCTACAATGAGCTCGAGCCCGCCATCTCCGAGGAGATCATGACCATCCACCACACCAAGCACCACCAGCTCTACGTCAACAACCTCAACAACGCCATCAAGGCCTACAACTCGGCCATCTCCTCCAACGACGTTCGCAAGCAGATCGAGCTCCAGAGCGCCATCAAGTTCAACGGCGGTGGTCACATCAACCACTCGCTCTTCTGGAAGAACCTCGCCCCATCCAGCCAGGGCGGCGGTCAGCTCCAGGACGGCCCCTTCAAGCAGGCCGTCGAGCGTGACTTTGGCTCGCTCGACAACCTCAAGTCCACCTTCAACGCTACCATTGCCACCATCCAGGGCTCCGGCTGGGGCTGGCTCGGTTTCAACCCCAAGAACTCGAAGCTCGAGGTGGTCACCACCAAGGACCAGGACCCCCTCATCTCGCACCACCCCATCATTGGTGTCGACGCCTGGGAGCACGCCTTTTACCTCCAGTACAAGAACGTCAAGGCCGACTACTTCAAGAACATTTGGTCGGTCATCAACTTCAAGGAGGCCGAGGAGCGCTTCAAGGCGGCTCAGACCGACGCCAAGGCTCACGTCTAAGCTCGTCATCTCAACCTTGTAGCAAAATATCGAAGTCGAAGCAAGCATGTGAAATGAAAATCAATCATCGATTGCTCCATCTTTCGCGTTACACTTCTGGCGCCGGTTCGACATCGCGCACTTTGCGGCATACGAAGAACTCGGGCAAGTAATTGTACTGCAGCATGCCGTTGAGCATCCCTGTGTAGGGCGTCGGCGAAAGCTCGCGACGATCCTGCGGCAAAAGAGCGAGAGAGAAACAACAGGAGGCAGGTAAGTATCAATCGAGCAAATGAGCCGGTTCGACCGGGAAGCGTTGCAACCTACCTCGAGTTCAAAGCCCATCCTTGGCAATAGCTGCACCAGCTCGTCCAGCGTAAGCTCGATGCTCATGCTATCGCCCGAGCTTCCTCGAGAGCTGCCCGAGTTCTCAAAGTGCCACAGCAACGGCCCCGCATTGATCCAGTGACCGCCAATGGGCAGCAAATGATTCAGCGTCTCGAGATAGCGGAGCACGTTCTTAGCCGTGTCGATAAAGAAGCACGTCGCCACCACATGCCATGCTCGCTTCTCGTCTGCTTTCGAGTATACTTCGCAAAACTCGCCGGCTACCATGCTGAACTCGCTCGTCTGCGGTAAGGAAGATGGTAAGACGTCGGGAATGTGAACCGGTCGCAGCATATCGTCGGCCATCCTCCAGTTGCTGGAAGAGTGGACAAACGGATAGATGACGTGCTCATTTACCCTGCTCGACTTGTTGAGGATGTAGTGAGATGCCAGCAGCATGTAGAAGCTGAACTCGTTGCCTTGACACGAGTAGCCTTGGGCTGCGTATTCGAACGCCAGTCGACCAAGGCCAGCGCCGGGTACGAGGATGCGGACATGTCCTCGTTCTTGAAAGGTGATCTTGCCATATCGCTCCGCAACAGCTTCTAGCAGAGGCTCGTACACCGCAGATCGCTCCGGCTCACCTTCGCGGCTCCAGTCTCGAACGAATTGCTTGAGTGTGCTTTGGATCTTGTCGATTTCGTGACCCGAAATCTTTCTCCGCTTGCGACCGCCTTTGAGACTGGAGCCATTGACGTCCTTGCCGCTGCTACTGCTGTTGCTGCTGCTCTGATTGCCATGGTTCGCCTCCGGACTAGCCTCGGGCTCTTCGCCAAATGCGTCTGGGCCGAGGAAACCGCGCGACTCGTCTGCTATCAAGGACAGAAGGTCGGCGTTGCGGCGGATTCGGTCATCGATTTCTTCCAGTCTCGACTTGAAGCCTCGCGTTGGCGCTGCTTGCGATGATCCACTCGGCAGCTCCGGTAATGAAAGCGGCTGTCCCACCTCTGCGAGGAGCTGTTGATGCGCTCTCGGCAGGGAGAAATAGGATCTTCTTCGTGCATCGTTGGCCGATAAGCAGTATGGCAGGTAATCGTCAAAGGCCTTGAGCACATTGGCAAAGTGCAGCCGTTCGAGGCGCTGATCTTCGTCGTCCTGAGACTGCGCCTCGCCCTCCATGCTGGCCAGCTGTTGATGTTGCGGAGCGCTGAGGAGCGATAAGGGCTTGACGCAAGCAGTGTTGAAGTGTTGAGAAGGTCTCGAGATAACGAACAGCTGGCTCGACAGGGTCCGATTCCCGCAAAAGGAAGCCCAAAATGAAATTGGCCGAACTCCACAAAAAGCTGTCACGCTTTCCACGTCAAGGGTCCTCCTCGCTTTGTACCATCATCCCCGAAGCACGCGGCAATCACCACACATGACTTAACCTGCATGAAGGCTGACCACGCCAACGGCGACTCGCCGTCGCTCATCGATCATTCCGAGGAAGCGTCGCGTCACGTCAGCTCGAACGGCAATACCCACGAATCTAGCCCGACTCGAAACGTTCAAATCAGCCAGGAAACGTTGCGCCGAGCTTCCTCATCACAAGATGGAAGCCCCATTCTCAGCGCACCGCACAAGCTTGCAGGTCTTAATGTGCTCGTAGAAGATACGCACTTCGACCCAGATGGTGCAAATGGCTCAACACAACGTGATGGAAGCCTGTCTCCGTCAGAATCAACCATGGACGCACCTTCACCCTCATACTCTCGGGAGTCCACAGTCGAGCCTGGAGATTTCATCCGACCGAAAGCACGTAAAGCGACACCAGCAGAAGAAGACGAGGATGTGTGGGAGGATGAAGAGGACAGCATCCTCATGGATGAGCATGGCAACATCATCTATGAAGGACCCGCCTACGAGGATTCAGCTTCCGAGTTTTCGGATGGAGCAGACGCTCAAGACCTCGAACAGCATCGACGCTCGTATCGAGAAGCTACGCAGCAGTATCGCAAAAGCCGTAGAGCTCTTCTTCTGTCTGGCCTGTCGTCATATGCTTCTTCGCCCTCCTCGGAAGAGCTTGGGAGCATCTCTCCGACAGAGTTCGGTAACGCATCCGCCAGTCCATCCGCCTCCGTCTACGAATCGCAGAGGCAAACACCCGAGCACGAATCCTACTATCAGCCACACCTGGCCGAGTCGGTGGACAACGCTGATACCGGTGGGAGGACAAACGATCTGCGATACGACTATGACTCAGGTCCCGAGACCAAGAAGCCTGTCGGCGCTGCCCAAGATGCTGCGCGCGAGGCGTATGCAGTCAAGCAGGAGCCCACGACACCGACGCTGAATGACGAGTCCTCTCGTGCACAAAGACATGTAGGTTCGGCCGTCAATCCGACGAACGGCAGGACGTCGGCATCTGCAGACAACGGAACAACGTCTGAAAGACGAGCTCGACCGTCGTCCGCTCCAAGAACCTTGTCTTCGCCGCTCAGCCCCACCAAATTCTTGACGCCCGAACAGGATGGCATCCGGCAGCGACGCTCACTGAGGGACCTGAAGCCATCCACATCCGCTGCAGACGAAGAGACGTACGAGTACGCCGACGCTTATATGACTCCGCGTCTCAGCCTCACAACGCTCCACGAGGAAGCGAAGCCCAACGGGTCGTCAATACCACAGACTCCTTTGCCAGCGAGCGAAAAACTAGCGAACAGGGACTACAGTCCAATAAGCCCCGGGGCTACCATTGCTCCGACCCGTCAGGAAAACCATCCGTTCAGCTTGTGGGACTACCTCAAAGAAGAGGTCCTCGCCACCGACTTTGATGCGACCCAGGAGATGAAGTGGGAAAGGGTCACCAACTTCATCTCGATCCCGTTCTGGATGGAAAAGATCATCCTCTTCGGTTTCGTCGTCTGCCTTGACTCGTTCCTCTACACCTTCACCATCTTGCCGCTTCGCTTCTGCGTGGCCATGTGGACGTGGCTCGGCAACAGTGCCAGGTGGATTCTCGGCAGCGAAAAGCGGTATCTGCATTCGTCGCACAAGTGCGACATCCTCAAAATGCTCCTCATCGTGCTCAGCTGCGTGATCCTCTCGCGCATCACCGACGCGAGTAAGATGTATCACTCGGTCCGCGGGCAGGACGTGGTCAAGCTCTCCGTCATCTTCAACGTGCTCGAGATTGCAGATCGTCTCTGCTGCAGTTTCGGGCAAGACCTGCTCGACTCGCTCTTTTCTCGCAGCACGCTCGCTCGACGCAAGAATGGCAAACAGCCCTATCTACGACCGATTGGCTTCTTCTGCCTCAGCCTGTGCTACGTTCTCGCACACACGCTCGTGCTCTTTTACCAGCTGGTGACGCTCAACGTCGCCATCAACAGCTACGACAACGCGTTGCTGACGTTGCTGCTCTCGAACCAGTTCGTCGAGATCAAGTCGAGCGTTTTCAAAAAGTTCGAGAAAGAAAACGTCTTCCAAATGACGTGCGCCGATATCGTCGAGCGCTTCCAGCTCACCCTCATGCTGTCGGCGATCGGCCTTCGCAACCTTATCGAGCTATCGGGTGGATCGCTCGAGCCTACATCGAGTCCGCTCCCCGCGAGCTTCACTGTGTTTCCAAGTCTCAGCTTGCTCGAGACGGTCCTGACGCCTGTCTGCATCGTGCTCGCGAGCGAGTGCATCGTCGACTGGCTCAAGCACGCCTTTATCACCAAATTCAACCACATCCGTCCCGCGGTCTACGGTCGCTTCATGGACGTGCTCTGCCGGGATCTGGTGGTAGGAGGGCCGTCCACGAAAGAGAACAGCCGCAAGCATACCTTCGTCGATCAGAGCCCCATCATTAGTCGTCGTCTCGGCTTTGCTGCGTTGCCGTTGGCGTGTTTGCTGGTGCGACTCATCTTGCAGATCATCGGCATGATCGGCGACACGAGTCACATTGACGAATGCATTGCCCCCATCAGCCCGCGCGAGACAGGATGGATCGGCGTCGTCGCGCGAAAGCTGGGGGCCAACGATATCGACAACGACCTGGTGCGCGCTATGGACCTGTTTGTGCGAGGCTCAGCGTGGGCGCTGACGCTTGTCATCGCTTGGGCCTTTCTCGTCGCTGTCAAGCTCTTGTTGGGCACCAACCTGGTCAGTTTCGCCTCGCACCGCTATGCCACGATGCACGAGCGCGAAAACGAAGAAAGCCTCAACGCGAGGGATCGAGCTCCCATCGGCACCAACAAGGACGAGAGGAGCTACGACAAGTCGCTCGGCCGTTTCATTGACAGGGCGGACGACGACGCGATCCAGATCAAGCTCGATGGGACACACGTCCTGCCGACGCCGAAAGAGAGAGACAAAGGGAAGGATGCAGGCCATCCGAAAGTCAAGAAGGAGAACTCGCTCATGGAGGTCAGTCGGTACAACATGGTGCGTTCGCGCATTTGGTAGCGCGGTGGTGGGTCTGCAATCCATTCGCATTTGCATTGTCTTCGTTCGGAGTGACCTTCGCGCTGATGTTTGTGTGTGGAAAGTGGCTCTTGAGCCTGTCGTCGCCTTTTTGAGGTCAACTACGATTGAGTTGCTCGTCGTCCTCATCCGACTCGTCCGATTCCGAGTCTGGGTCTCTTCCAGTGTAGAACGCTTCCCAATTGGCCCTCAGCTGCTTTGCCGCCGCCTCAGCGTCCAGCCCATGAAGCTGGGCGAAGTACCCATTCGCCTGCGCCAAGTACCCGGGAATGCCGCTGACCGTATGGTAGTCGCTCTCCACGAGCGCTCTACTTCGGTCTACGCTAGCGAGGCATTCGCGCGCGACGATCTGCTTGCGGTTGATCGTCGACGAAAAGCCGACATACACATTGGCGTGCTTCTTGGTGATCGACTTGACGACGTTGGTGTCGAGCGTGCATGAGTGGAGCGATATCCTCACCGCGCCAAATGCGGCGATATCCGTGTTGCGTAGGGACGAGAGAAGGTCGACGGTGAGGCCAGCCGCTTGAACTGAGTGGAGCGAGATGTTGCGCTTGTACTGGAGGGCTACGTCGATTTGGGCGCGGAGGACCGAGAGCTGGTGCGCCTGCGGTGTTTTGAGCTTGGTCAGCTTGGGTGTTGAGGTGTCGAGATCGGTGCGGTGCGGATCGTAGTTCCAGGCACGTCGAGGTATCCTGAATGCTCGGTCGATGCCGACTTCGCCTAGGAGGGCCGATGGGAAGCGATCAAAGTTCTCGCGAATCCCGGCAGAAACGCTCTCGAGCGATACGGGGTCAGGCAGCTGCTCCCATATCGCTGCGAGCTCCTCTTTTGCTGTATTTTTTTCGCCTGGTGCGGGCTCTGGGATGCCAAAAAGCTCGTGATAGTGTTGCTCCTTGCTTGGTGGCGGATCGGAGAGCGAGATCTGGTGTGCGAACCATGGATGCCACCCGAAGCACGGGATGACCTTGTCGGGATGTCGTGAAGCGAGCTCGGCGACCATGCCTTGGTCTCTCGCATTGGTGGACATGCACACTAGACGCCCGACAGGAGTGTCGCGGATGCGATTCGAGAGCTCGTCCAGGTTGGACGATGTGTAGGCAGACGGATCGTCGGTGGGATGGCAGTGCGAATCGACAAAGTAGGCTGCGAGCGTCGACGAGGGCTGCTGGATAGCGGCAGACTCGCTCGTGTCGCTGTGCGAGCCTCCAGCACACATCGTGCTTCTGTCCGTGTTTTGCTCGCCTCGTTATAGGATGGTGCTGATGGAGATGGGAGCAGGAAACCCGGATCATCCTCCCAAACATTTCACGCTTGGACCCTGACGTCCGTGCCCAGAAACGGCGTTCATGCCTCCACTTCGCCACGATGAGCTCTGAGCTGCATAGGCCTGCAGAAAAGCCTGGCGGATGATCTTGACCTCAGCTTTGTGCTCCCGTGCGTCAAGCGCAGGTCGGTGGACCTCAGGCAAGACCACAACTCACTCACAAGATCGAATCACGCAGGACGACCGAACTGAGTCTTCCAACAGCCGGCTTTCTTACACAGACTTGGGCGTTTCGCGCGTCTCGCAGACGCAGCAAGCGCCTCACTTTGGAAAAAGAATCGTGTTTGACGCTGCAATGTTCCCTGGGGTATACATGATGGCTGAGGACGATGTGCGGAGTCAACGACGATGCTCTCTATGACGCCTGTCATCTCTATCTCGGTCTCGATTGCGGTCACGGTCACGGTCACGATCGCGATCGCGATCAGACTTGCGGTCGTAATCTGGTCTGGACGATGTATGCGAGCGACTGTGGCTGTCCCGGTCATCTCTGCGACTGTCACGATGTCGATGTCGGTCGGGATCCTTGGTCCTCGCAGGACTGCGTGAGCGCTGTCGTTCTGAACCGCGCGACTGGCTGGTGTATCGGTCCTTTTCGTCCCTCTGAGGATAGTCACGAGATGAAGTTGCCTCTCTTGAACGATGTGCGGGTGACTCCGTTCTGCCGTTGGAAGATGATTCGCTCTCGCGTTTGGTGATGGGGACGTATTTGTAATCACGCCTGTCTTTGGGCCGATGGTTTCGCGAGGAGGAGGACGAAGACATCGGCGATCCGGCCGATGCGGATGGTCTCTCCTTCGCGCCAAGACCAAGCAGCGCAGCTCGCTTCTTCGGCTCAGCCGCCTGTTGCGGGCCCTTTCCGCCTTTTCCTGTGCCCATGCCTTCCTTCCATCCCATTCCGCGGAGGAGGGCCATGCCGAATTGGTCGACCGGGGTGGCCGCATAGTCATCGAGCGTAGGTGCTTCCGGCCTAGAGTCAACGTCGTGCTGAAGCAGCTCGCTTTCGGACTCTTGCTGCTGAATGATCAAAGGCTCTCCGTTGTAGCTACCGCCAACGCCCTCGCCGGCAAGTAGAGCCTTGAGCGCTTCCTGATCTGTCCCTTTCTCGTCTGACGTGGTAGCCGGAGCAGCCGGGGTCGAGGCCACGTCATCCCTGGCTTGGTTCAAGCTACCTGTTGGCGCGTCTTCTGATCGAGGTCTCGATTTCCGCACTTCCAGCCCAGCCTTTTGCGCTTCAGTGTTGATGGCATCCGTTCCCGCATCGCCATTGGCAGAGATTTTGGAAGCTGAGCCAGGTACAGCTGTGGAGTCTGCCCTACGCATGGACACGAGCGGACCGAGTGATTGGAGATTGGACGCCACGCCCAGACGTTGCTTACGATCTTGCCGCCAGTCGAGATTGGATGCTACCGGAATGATGCGGGGAGCAGCGGCCACGGGCGATGCTCTGCGCCCCTTGGCACCTTCGCGACCGAACGAGACGATTTCTTCGCGTCGACTCGAAGAAGCATGGTGTCCGGCGTCGTCGTCGTCCGAGTCGTCAAACGCCCGCGGCCTTGTATTCGGCCTTGATGAGCTCTTCTGTGGCATTGTCAGAATGCCAAAGGGGCTGACATGTGCCTGCTGCAGTGCGTGGAGGTGTAAGAGAGACGGTGCGCAGTCAAAGGGTTGGCAATCTGAACGCGAGCGACTCAGGGTCCTTGAAGAGGAGCTCGGCTTGTGATCTGAATTACGTAATCGAAACAATTCCCAGGAAGGGTCGACCTGTTCTGCTCAACGTGAGCGGCTCGGTCCGCGACTGCAATCACAATTGGATTGCAACTCGAGTCAGAATGGCCGGCATCACCGACCAGAGTTGTTCCTGAAGGTTCCGGTACGAATGGACTACCAGGCAAACAGATAGCGTGGTAGCGACCGATCCGTGCGAGGAGGTGGGTTGCCACATCAGAGAAGCTGGTGTGAAACCCCAAATTCGAGCTCGTGCATATCTGAACGTCGATCCTTTCCTTTGGAACGGAAAGCGAGACGGGCCGACTCGCGACCGTCGAGTTTGACAGCCAGAGAGAAGAATTGGGAAGACGCCACGGATCCACTTCGGCTGTCACGGTCGGCTTAGTCGCTTTCGGTGAATTTCAGGGAGAATTTTCTGGCCCTTGAGTCGAACCTGCGGCGCGGCATGGCATGTGATCCGCTCTGTTTCTTCCGTCGCTTCGAGAGCCTAAGCGATCCAGACTACATCATCACAATCAACCAAAAAAAAGGCTTGTCTTCGGGATCTCGCTTCCGAACGCACACAATGGAATGCGCTTATCTCTCTATCACAACGACCTCGTGTGGTGGCAAATGGCAGTCGAGCAAGTCTCGCATGTCAGTCTATAAGGCAAGGTGGTCCGCGAAGAAGGCGCCAAGTTGGACGGGCGGCTGAGTTGCAAGTCGAATTCACCCGAAAAAGTTTTGTCCACCGGCCCAAAACCGAAAAACCTACGCGAACGTCGAATACAGTAGCGAATTGGCGCTCGCTCCCTAACTCCTTTCGGCTTATTCTATTCGACCGTACACGACTTGATCACAAACTACGCCCACGCCTTGTGACCTTGTGTAGCGGATGAGATAAGTGATTGGTCGGCTGTCGCCTCGAATGGATCGGCTGCTCGGTCGTGCTTATCGTTATCCAATGAAGGGTCGATTTGAGTTCAGCTGCATGCATCTTCATCTCATTGTGGGAGGAAGCCTGCGTGTCGAATCAATCTAAAGCTCTTCCGAACTCGCTCCTAGTCATGCTGCATTTCAAGTGACGATGGTCCAGAGCCAAAGGTCCCTGCGTCTTCCCACCTCGGCACACCCTCGGCCCTTCTTTGCCATTGCCGCTCGAACCCCGCCACATGCCCATCGCATGCACTCTCGAGCCTCGTCGTGTGTGTGTGACCCGTTGAATCTGCTCCCGCTGCAGATCACAAACTTTTCTTCTTTGCCGCCCATTGGCTCCTCCCGCTTTCTGTTGACCACTTCACTTACATATACACCGTCATCCCTTCCACCTTCTCCCCTCTTGTCCGCCTCTTCGCCCCATCTCCATTTCCTACTCGCACTGGCCCGTTCAGCACGGCTCTTTCGTGGCCTGTAAAACTTCACCATGGCGTCCGCTGAAGGTCATGCCAGCACTCCGCTCTCTCCCGACCTGGAGAAAAGGTCCTACCCTCCCTCCGACTCCCTTGAGAAGGATTCTTCGAACGAAGATGCTGCCGCGCTCGCCCGCCTTGGTATGGACGAGCAATCCTCAGACGGTCACGTGCAACGCAACCTCAAACAGAGGCACTTGTCCATGATTGCTCTCGGCGGTACCATCGGGACTGGTCTCTTTGTCGGTCTCGGCGCCTCTCTTGCCAGCGCTGGTCCCGTCAGCACCCTCATCGCCTACATCATCATGGGCGGCGTCGTCTACTCGATGATGGTTGCTCTCGGTGAGGTCGGTACTCTCCTCGCTGTCCCCGGTGGCTTCACTCACCACGCCTCTCGCTTCCTCGACCCAAGTCTTGGCTTCGCTCTAGGCTGGAACTACTGGTACAGTTATGGTATCACCCTTCCCACCGAGATCTCGGCTTCTGCCATTCTCATTCAGTACTGGGACACCACACAGTCTATCAACCCTGCCGCCTGGATCTCGATCCTGATCGTGCTCGTTGTTGGTGTCAACTTCCTCGGGGTTAGGTACTACGGCGAAACCGAATTTTGGTTCTGTCTCATCAAGGTGCTCGCCGTCATTGTCCTCATCATCACATCGCTCGTCATCGACCTCGGCGGAGGTCCACGAGGCGACCGTCTGGGCTTCCGCTACTGGAAGGACCCCGGACCCATGGCACAGCTCTTTTGGAGCCCCGACCCCGTCACTGGAAAGCCCACGGGTGGCATCAGTGGCTCTTTCGGACGATTCCTCGCTTTCTGGAACATCTTCGTCCAATCTGCGTTTTCGTTCGCGGGAACCGAGATCATAGGAGTAGCAATCGGTGAGACCGAGAACCCCCGCAAGAACGTTCCCAAGGCGATCAAGCGTGTGTTCTGGCGAATCCTGCTCTTTTACGTCCTTGCCATCTTTATGGTAGGCCTAGTGGTGCCCTACAACGACCCTCGTCTTCTCGGCGGCGGAGACGATGCTAGCGCTTCTCCTTTCGTGTTGGCGATTTCCGACGCTGGCATCAAGGTAATGCCCAACATCATCAATGCCGTACTCTTGATCACAACATGGTCCGCGGCCAACTCGGACCTCTACGCCTCGTCAAGGACCATTTACGCGCTAGCGCTCGAGAACAAAGCGCCAGGGTTCCTCCGCAGATGCACCAAAAATGGCACACCCGTCTGGGCGATCTTCGTCACCTCCCTCTTTGCGCCGCTCGCCTACTTGTCTTGCGGAGCAGGCGGTGCTCAAAAGGCCTTCAGCTACCTTTACGCCGTCTCGGCAATCTCGATCATCATCTGTTGGATCGTGATCTTGGCAGTTTATGCCCGTTTCTACCACGGGCTCAAGTTCCACGGCATCTCCCGCAGCACCTTGCCGTATAGGGCACCCTTCCAGCCTTACCTGACCTACTTTGGCATGGTCTTCCTCACCCTCGTGCTGCTCTTTGCCGGCTTCACTGTCTTCCTCAAGGGTCAGTGGAGCACCAGCGGCTTTGTCACCACCTACATCTGCATTCCCGTCTTCTTCGCCTGCTGGATCGGATGGAAATTCTGGCACAAGACCAAATTCGTTAGCCTCTCGCAGATGGACTTCGACACGGGTCGCAGGCAGATCGACGACAACGAGGAGGCGGAAAGGATCAAGGAGTCGCAAAAGACACGATCAACACTTGAACGCGTGTGGGACTGGATGATGTGATGTTCTCGCATCCATGCCCAGCGTCTAAGCTCATTCGACGGCAGCCTCGTGCTCCGTCATCCTGCCTTCACGGCTCACCACAAGACTCGCTACGGCTTGTTGTGCGGTCACAAGCATTCGCATTGCCTCTATAACCTCTGTCACCTGCATTCTTCTCTTTTCTTTGCATTGTATCATTATATGGAATCTTCTTCATCATCCTCAACGGGCTCGTCTATTCTGGCAGACCGTGACAGTCATGAATCGTCCGTGCACTGCATTGTGCTGACTGAATGCCTGTGCATGAGACCGCTTCGAAATTCGCCGATGGCACATGGCTTGCGGATTTTCAAACATCGACTGAGATGGCAGCGGACAGGTAATGACTCCAGCACGGCCTTATCAGACATGGATGGGAAACACTCACGAGACCATCGATGGGTCTCTGACTGGTGCTCGCCGTCTGAATAGATTTCTAGACCTTGATGCGAAGCAACAGCCATGTTGTTCGTCGCTCGAGGGCCACTCCAGCCGTCGAGCTGCCCTTCCTGCGCTTACAGATACCAGAAGTTGACGCTTGCGCTCGTGCTCAAGCTCTGAACGCAGTGATACCAGCCTTGAGGAATGTACAGGACATCTCCGGCGTCTAGCTCGGCGACGAAGGCGTTGTCTGATGCCAGCGCTTCCGACAAGAGCGGCCGGTCCTGCGAGGGAGTCAGAAGCTCTTGCTCCGATGCAATTTCAGAAGTGTTCTGCTGAGGTCCGCTCGGCTTGATGTAGAGGTTTGGAGCCAGCGCTGGTGCGAAGAGATGGACTCGCTTGCGACCGACGATCTGAGCGAACAGGTTCTCGTAAGGATCACGATGCAGTGGGGTATAAGTGCCGCCGGGACCGATCCAAACGTTGCTCCTCCATTGCTCCTGCGCGCCTTTGGGTCCGGCCTGTGTATGCGGTAGTCCTGGAGCCTCTTGCGCCAGGCTAGGTGCCTTCGAGAGCAGGTCAAACTGAGCCAGGTAGCCTACCGGCTGCTGTTGTTGCGATGCGTCAGTCGACCACGGGATCTTGCGTCCGATGAAAGCGTCGAGGAAGAGCGAGAAGGGCATCTCGATGCGGTCCCACTTGCCGCCGCCTGCGTTGTAGCCGAGGTTGGGCTGCGAGATCTCTACCGGCACCATCAGATCCGCCGTCTCGGGCCGCTTGAGCCCGTCGAGTGTCTCCTGCCCTTTGGCGTCGATGGTGGACCATGCCTTCAGTGCTGGCCATACAACTTTCTCCGGCGACGGGTTGGATGTGAGAAGACCCTGAAAGTGGCCCGGGCGACCCGCCAGCTGGAAGTCCTTCACGAAGCGGACCGCCGAGATGCCGTTCCGTAGCGAGGCCAGTGGTCGGACAGACATGGCCTCATCGTTATCGACCAGATTGAGATGATGGGAGTGGAGGAGGAAGAATGGGAGCTGCGAGTGCTCGAGCCATACATGCACACCTGTCGAAAATGTCCGACACTTGACCGAGACATGTCCTTTGCATTCAATCAAATTTATCAAATCTACCCAGCAAGGAGAGTGACAGCTTGTCGTCCTGCACTTTTTGTCCACTTCTCGTCGGCACTTTGCATCTGCCATGAGAAGTGGATGCGGGCATTTGATTGCAACAAATCCTAGGACATAATATTGCCAGAAGATAGGCCAACAGAGAGCAATTTTCGCCAATTCAAGAGCTTCCGAACAATTTCACGGCCCCCATTTCGGGTCGTGTTTTATTTTGACGTCGCTAATTCAAGCCGAGCGCTCAAAAAAGAAATCGAGTGAAGTTTTTGAAGGTCACAAATAAGCTGCATGAATGGCCTCTTCTTTGCGTGCGATGTCGACGTGAGCCAATTGAGGGTAAATAGTTAGCCAAGGGTCATGAAATTTGATCGATCTCTCCGGAAAAAAAGCGACCTGAGTATCGAGATTTGCAGAAATTGTCGTCAAAACAGCCTTTGCGCCCATGAGGTCGGATCACAAACACGCAACTTTGCCGTTCTCATGGAAGACCACAGCCGAAATGCTGGAACATGTCAAAAATACACTCTTGGCATGCTGGTGAGCAGTCACTTCGCGCCTCTTTTGGTCACCATCGGCGGACCTGAGGCAGAAGAGTGGGCATGCTTTGCCAAGGATCCATCATCTCGGATGCGAAGGTCAATCATTGATCACTCAGCGTTGTTGAGAAGCAGGGACGAGGATTGGCGGATGTGGCGTCGCCATGTGATCCGTCTCTGGGTTCGCAGAGACTGGGAAGGGAAGGAGGCCAGGGTACTGAGATCTACCAGGCGACCATCTCGAGCCAGGTGTGCTCACGGCTGCCACCATGCAACCTTCGTCGCGATCACCCACATCATCTCAGACAAGAATGCGCAGCCGCAGCCCCAAACGACGTCACACCAAAGCTTCGACAATCGACAGTATCAACATTGCTGAGCATCGTGACCATCAAGAACAGAGAACGAAGTGTATCTCCACGGGTCCCCATCGTTCTCCTCGACAGAAGCGCGATTGCTATGCGTGGCGTCGCTCATGCAGCTCGAGTCTGGTGGTGAGATGGGTCTGTCGTTGAGCAGGAACTTGGGCGGTGGGGGCATCTGGCCCGTCTGCCTTGGCGTGTCTTTCCCCTGAACATCCTCTGTCCCTCTTTCCTCCGAGTGGGTGTCCCGATACTCTTCGGGAGACCCGAATGGCGAAAGCAGCGCCATGTCGCGCGAGCCGGAAGTGTCGTAGCTGCCACCGCTCAGGTCGGCAGCCATGATGCTATCGAGCAGCTTCTGCAGCTCTTCTGAATCCTCAAAACTCGAATTAGCCTCGGTGGAGACGACGCTGGCGATGCTGATCAGGCGACGACGGAGTGGCGAGGCGAGGTGATGGTGAGAGGGCGGAGAGCGGGACATGCTCGGTTCGTCCGCTTCCATGATGCCGTACAGCCCGCGCGGAGTGCCGGTTGCGATGCGGTGGTCTGGGGTGTCCGTCATTTTGTACGGCGAGGAATGAAGGCTGAGCGAGCCGGAGGAGCCAGTGAAGGTCTTGACGAGATTTGAAAGGGTATGTGTCGCTTCGTTCATCTCCAAGAATCCGGGTCGGGTCGGCGGCGAGACCTCTTCGAGCCTCGATCGCAATGTCGCGAGCTCGAGGAGAGCTTGCCTTGAGCTGGTTGCAGGCTCTTCGTCCATCCACTCTTGAGCTTCCTCAAGGTCTGAGTCGTCCGTGAAAGCGATGGATGGCTTATGACGTAGCGAGGGGCCCTGAAGGGGCCGGCGTGGTGAATACTTCGGCAGGAGCACGGCCTTTGGTGGACTTCGCACACGATTCGAGCTTGGGGTCCTCATGATGTGAGTAGGTGACATGAGCCTGCGGAGCTCGGGCGTGCCTGGCGGAGAACCTGTGAAGAGTATCGAAGTACCGACCGATCTGATGCTGCCCGTCTCCTCTCGAGAACTCGGAGATCGCAGGCGCTGTCCATACGACCGGCGCGAGACGATCACCTTCCCAGACGGAGAAGAGGTGGTCGAACTCTGCGAGCTGATCGTGCTGGCTCGACTCCGACCGCAGCGTGGAGGGATGGGAAGAGATTGACCAAGCAAGGACGGCGGAGGTCGACAATAGGGTTGCTGACCCATCATGGATGCCAAGTCTGTTGCGATTGGCTGGCTCAGGGCGACACTTGCCGCTGTTAGCGATACTGTTGGAATCGATTTGTTCTGGGCTGAGCACTCATCAGCGGCCATTCTCGGCCACAGCTGCGATGTGGTGAGGCTTGTCGCCACGCCCTTTCCAGCCGCCAGGGCCTGGGAGCTTGAAGGGAGCTGAAGCTGCTTCATCCAGGGATGACGGTTCTCAGAGATGTGAGCTTGTGCTGGAGACGCCGACTTTGTCGATCGCTGAGCCTGAGGATGAGCAGCCGATGGCACGGGCTTTGCGAAAGCATCCGGAATCGTTGGTCGTTGTTTGTGAGAGACAGATGGTCGTAGAGGGATGACTTTAGACGGCAGCTGTATGCGATCCAGCTCGACGCTGCGGCTCTTCTGAGCCATTGTGGTAGATTCACACACACGTGGAGAAGCGCGAGAGAGTAGATCCTCGCTGCGTCTTGTCGGCTGAGGGGGTCGAATGCAATCGGCCTTATCCGCGGTCGTACTGACATCTGAAGGTCGCGGAAGGTCCTGCGAAGCCCGAGATGGCCGCCACGTCCTTTCCATGCTTCGAAACTTCCTGCCAAAGGCGGTGAAGGGCTGTCGTGCGAGCAGCTGGAGGGTCTTGAGCTTCGAAGTAGGCGGTGGTGGTGCACTTGCTTGCTCCGTTGAAGTCTCGGGCTCGGCGAGATTCTGCAGCTGTGAGGCTGCATCTTTGCTGGCGGACGGATGATTCGGCTGGCCAGCATCTTCGCCGTTATTGTCTGCCTGGTCGTTGAGATCTGCCTCGTTGCGGAACGGCACAGTGTTTGCCGGTCTCTCGTAGAACTCTGGCGGAAGAAGGGCTCGGCGTCGAAGACCCACATTCTCGACCCGTGGTAGCTCCAGGCCTCTTCGGAGAGCATGCGTAGGTGTTTGCGCTGTTACGAGGTCAGCATCGAAAGGAGGCAGAGCACGAGGTTCAGCGGTCTCAACATCAAGCTGGGCCAGACCTGCTCGGCTGGCGCGGCCGTCTGCGTCGATCCAAGCTTCTTCCTCGATTCCATCGACTGGAGCAGCAGCCAGATCGGTGGTAGTGTCTTCCACTGTAAGCACAGCCCGCCCGAATCCGGTGAGACCGCGCGTGGTCGACACCTTTCGAGTCCGTCTTGACGGTGTGCTGAGATAGAGAAGACCTGAGTGTGATATCAGTGTCTGCCTGAGATACGATCGAGCACATGGAATGACAGCGTCGCTACTCACATGAATCTCCTGATCGAAGCAAGGCTAGTGGCGGTCCTCAACGAGCTCTTACCCTTCTCCGGGGTGATGTTCGTGTCACCGTTCTCACCGGGAACCTGGAGCGATGTTCCGTAGCTCTCGACCGCGGCCGGCTGCGGCGTCGCGCTCTTCTGCAGCTTTCGAGCTGCCATGCCAATGGAGTGTGACCAATTGCCCAAGGTCGATCTTGCAGTATCCTGGCTCAGAATGCCATCTGGCAAACGATCCGTGTTGCCAGAATTGCGATCTTGTGAGGTTCGGCCTTTGGATGACTTCGACGGCTGGACGGGCGACATGCTGAACTTGCTCTTGAGAAGGTGGTCTGACGACTTTTGACGGCGACTGGGTGTCTTTGGCTGCTGTGAAGCGGCGTCCAACGCTGCTGCATCTGTAAAGCAGCGTGGCATGGTAGAAGCTCTAATAGGTGCACGACCATCAGCGGTCAGCTTGCCATCCCTGCGCAGCGATTGGGCATCATCTTCTTGGTTTTCCTCCAGCTCATCTATATGCATCGCAGGACTTCCGAGCTGTCGGGGAAGCTGAGGGAGGGGCTTGACACCTGTACTGCTGTTGATGAAGATGGGACTCGAAATCCGCTGACCTTTGAGAGTCGAGATGGTGTCGAGCGAAAGGCGAGGAGCGATTGGAGATGCTGTTTCGGAACGCAAGAGGTCGAGTGATTTCGAGTGCGGAGTGTAGGGCGGCGTATCATCCAGAGGAGACGCTGAGATTGGCGGTAAATCGGGAGGCTTGACGATCCGCACATCGAAGCTGTGTGGGTTGGCTTCCACTTGAGGGGAAAACATCTCGAGTGCCAACGACAAGGGATCATGAGGCAGAGGCGAGGGGAGATACGAGTTTTGCGCAGGAGGTGAGGAGGCGAGAAGACGTCTCAAGGCGATCTTCGCAATTCACAGCGCCAAAGTCGTCAATCACATTGAAGAGCGGAGGGTTAGCAAATCAGCTCGACGCTCGATGCAAGCAGCTCTCGTGTGAGCCGCTGTGCATTCTTGACAACTGCACCACTTCAAGTACCACTGACTGCTGTAAGCCGTGCTTGGCTTAATGTGATTGAAGCAAGAAAAAAGCAATACCAGTGGTGCGATGTGATGGGCGGGCGCTCATTCGGTCATCCAAAAGGAACTCAAAAGCGGGATTAAGACGCAGCGATCAAAAGGCTTCATATGTCCACTCAAAAACAAGAGGGATGGTGTCACATGAAGGTCGGTCGGACGGAAATCGGCTCGACGGGTCCTGCAGGATCGTACCACCTTTTTGTCAAGCTCGTGTGATCTTGCCGTGCGGTCAAGTGAAGTGCTGCAGAGGTGCAGCTGCTCTGTGGGAGCAAAGAGCAGAATTTCCCAGCTCATATTGGGGCCACGCAAACTTGAATGACGAGAAGCGTCAAGGTCAGGAATCAAGCTTCCTTCCGGGGCTACGCGCGGATATGTGTGGCGACGCGCGGTCCGAACATCACACGACAAGCTCGTTGTTCGCTATGCCACGACGGCTCGTGGTCAGACGCGAGGACGAGAAGAGAAGCGGGCCTGACTTGTTTGCCTTCGGCATTCGGGCTGGGTCCTCCCCATTGATGCAGTCCGATGCAATTGAAGTGGGATTACCGAGGCCAAGGGTCATCGAAAGCTTGATCTAATCAGGGCGAATTCGGGCAAATCCGCAAATCATCTTACAAAGCCTTTGCGATCCTCTCTCGGCCAAACCTTATTCGCCATCCAGGCCGTCGGCAGTATTTAACATCGGCGACCGCACTGTAACTCAAATTGGCGAGGCTGAGTTCGCCGTCTCGCCAGGATGGTACCGGAAGGCTGTTGACAATCGTTGGGACAATGTCGTGCACGCGTCGCGTTGAATGGGCAAACAATGTGCAAGAAGATGGCGATGCCGAGGGCTCATTGTTCTCAGCTTTCCTGCCAGACAGTATCCAGCTCTGTCACTCGATGGCCGATGTCAATCATCGCGCGAGCTTCTACCGCATCTCAGGCTGTCTGTCACGTCACAAGCCGATCGAAAAGATGGATAGATGCACATTGATTGGTGACGTTGTAGAAAAAGCAATCACACTCCCAGACGGCAGGTGTACATGATTCGTAGAATTTTTGAAATGCTGCTTGGTGGTGGTGCAAAGCAATTTAAGCCTTGGTGGCCTGAACCTTGTCGTTGTTCTCCGGGTTGTCGGCCTCGAAGATGTCGTAGGCGGGAACAACGAGGTCGGACTGGTCGCAGACCTTCTTGGGGGTCTGAGCCAGGGCGCCCTCCTCGAGCTCCTTGAGCTCCTCGGCGGAAAGGTCGACGAGCTTGATGTTGTTCTCGATACGAGCAGGAGTGACCGACTTGGGGAGAGGGTTGCAGCCACGAGCGACCTGCCACGAGATGAGAACGTTGGCACCCTGGACGTTGTGCTTCTTGGCAATCTTGTCGACAACCTCGAGGGAAGCCTGGCTGGCACCGGTGGAGCCGAGAGGCGAGTAGGCCTGGGGCAGGATGTCCTGCTTCTTGAGCCAGCCAACGAGCTCGGGCTGAGGGAAGGTGAAGGAGAGCTCGACCTGGTTGACGACGGGCTTGATGCGGCACGACTTGAGGAGCTCCTTGGTTCGGCGGATGGAGAAGTTGGAGATACCAATGTTCTTGACGAGACCCTCGTCGACGAGCTTCTCGAGGTCGGCCCAGACTTTGGTGAAGTTCTCGGTGGTCTCAACGTCGAGAAGGTGCTTGCCGGTCTTGGGGTCCTTCTTGGAGTCGCGGGGGAGCTGGCCAGCGGGGACATCCTCAGGAACAAAGGCGATGTTCCAGTGCATCAGGTAGAGGTCGAGGTACTTGACGCCGAGCTTGTCGAGGGTGTCCTGAACGGCCTGACGGACGTGGTTGTGGTGGTACTCGTAGAGCTTGGAGGTGATCCAGATCTCCTCACGGGGGACACCGGAGAGCTTGATACCCTCTCCAACCTCGTCCTCGTTCTGGTAGCCCCAGGCACAGTCGATGTGACGGTAGCCAGACTTGAGGGCGTGGCAGACAGCATCACGCACCTCGCCCTTGGGCGACTGCCAGGTACCGAGACCGACAGAGGGGATGGAAGCGCCAGAGTTGAGCTTGAAGTGAGAAGTAGGCCTATCTTGGCGGGAAGTTGTGTGGAAAGAGAAAGAGGGAGATGCGACGCAGCGAGTAGCGTAAGCGGGAAGCGAGACGCGATGAGCGACCAAGGGGCGGAAAGAGGTCAGCAAGCGATTCCTACGAAAGACAAGCGAAGATGACGACGAGCAGCTGCCGGCTGTTCAGCGAAATGTGGAAGATGACGTTGCCGCCGATATGACAAAGGCTCGAAGCTGCAGTGTACAAAGGGGGTGTGACTTACATTGTGACGAGATGTGAACGGGTTTCTACGAGTATAGATGGTGGAAGTGGTGAGAGGGAACGAAGTCAAGAAGAAAGATGATTATATACAAGGTTTGCAGAGCAGGCGCGGACGCAGGAGCCAAGCGAGGCGGAAAAGGGAGACCGATGGCGACGGCCGTGACACAACTGAGTGTGATTTGGCCGAGAGAGCCAATGAATGACTGACAGACAGACAGGGCTAGGCTGAGGCTAGCGGTGTGTGAGTGCGGGTGATCCGAGAGAGGGTCAAACGCGGGGGGGCCAAGTTGAGAAGACCGGTCATCTCAACTAACCCAACCAACTCCACGTTGGTGCGGTGCGGTGCGGTGTGGTTGCTGATGCCGCCTGCTGCAGCTGTGTGTCACACTTTGCAACGCGCCTCTTTCCAATTTGGCACAATCCCAGTCAAGCGAAGCAAATAGAATGCCGACGTGAGATTGCCGGGCAACCCAACCCGTGGCCGGTGTGTTTGCTTTGCTTTGCCCTTTCTTCTAGCGAAGGCGTGTGCCTGAATTGTCGCCACTCCGCTGCCTCAGCCGGCCCGCTTGCTCTATCCTCAGTGTGCTAGATCAACGCAAAACAAGCAACCGCGAGAGAGACAGAGCGCTTGATTGTCCTCCTGTCGTTGAAAAGTTCATCCTCATCGGGCTTTGGCTGCTCCCCTTTTGCAACCCACTCTGCCTTTGTGAGACTCAGCCCACGGCTTTTGTGTCGGCGTGTGCCACCGTGGCTGCCCTTAGCCCAGCTACCGCTACTTCATTTCGATCATCAAGTCATGTGGGTCAAGGAGCATCTCGCCGATGCTGCCGGTCATACCCAAGCTATGTCAGCCGACAGGGTGTCGTTCACGATGTGCTGCTCAGCCCAAGGGACAAGTCATTTTGAGGGAGCCAGACAAGGCGGGCCAAGCAAGAGGTTCAAAACCGGCGACTTCTCCGCACGCCAGACATTGCCGGCCTCACCTCAGCCATCACTGGTCGGCAATCTCGATTTTGTTTCCGCTCGGCACAATTCCCGCAGAGAAACGCACCGACCAAATGGGAAAATCGCGCTCGGACCCTGCAACAGTACAAGTCACCTCTCTCGCTCCGGGCTCTACGGTACCGCCGAGCAGAATCAGGTATGATATATAGAGCGAATGGAGTCTGAGGGCGGCGTCTACCTAGCTGCGAGCGCCTGCCTCACTGGCACTCGATCGCCCAGAGCAGTGCCGTCCAGACTTAGCCGCACAGACGCATTCAGCAAACACACGTAGCAATGGACATGGATTGATACCAGATACAACACGATGCTCGCAACCTCGACAGACAACGTGACCCTCCTTTACACCTCGACGTACTTGCCCGCCTCCTTGCGCGCCTTGGTCATCGCAGCGATGATGGCCGAACCCACGCCCGATCCATCTTCGGCCTGGTAGGTCTTGATGTTGCGTCCCTTTTCGCCAAAGATGTCCTCCAGCGCCTGGTGCAATCGGTCGGCGAACCCAGGGTACTTCGAGTAGAGCGATCCGTCGGCACCCACACCGCAGCCCTTCTCGAGGTAGCCCATCTTGGTCACCAACGCAGCGATACCGCACGAGCTCAGTCGCGCCGATCGCGTACCAATCAGCTTGGCCAGCTTGCGGAAGAATTGCCTCTCCTCGATCGTCGTGTCGATGCCGAAAAAGTGGGTGAACAGTCCCACCACCGTGAGCAGCTCCTCGGTAGGGTCCAGCTCCATGAGCGACAGGAAGGCCGTGTCAAAGGCGTTGGTCTTTTCGAGCTTGTAGGTGTTCTGTCCCAAGAAAAGCACGCCCTCGTCGATGAGGTCGCAGATGCAGAGTCGGAACAGCTCGCCCAGGTACAGACCGGCGATCATCTTTTCGTACGACTGCTCGTGCGGCTTGTTCGAGTGCATGTCAATGTGCTCGTCGTATTTGGTGCGGATCTCGGCCATGTGTTCGTGCTTGAACGAGTCAAAGGCGCCGTACTCGCAGTTGATGGCCATCTCCTCGTCCTCTGGCAAGCCGAGGTGCTTGATCTTGGGGATATCCTTCATGTGCTCCATGTAGGCAGCGTTACAGCCCGTACCAAAGATGCATGCAATCCTCGTGTCCTGGTTGACATAGTTGGATGCAATGAGCGTACCCGTGGTGTCGTTGATGATCGAGACCATCTTGATGGGCAGCTTGTACTTGTCGAGCGACTCGCGGAACATGGCAGCGCAGTCGCGACCTTCCGTGTTGGGGTTGCCGAAGCCCTTGGTCCATCGGACCAGCTTGCCGTGGTCGATCTTGTCTTGCTCCATGGGGTAGCTGAACGTGAAACCGAGAGCGAGCTCCTCCTCGAGAATCACATCGCCATTCTGGTCGCCAAAGTGGTCCTTGATGAAGGTGGCCAGACAGTCGGCGCAAAAGTCAAAGAGCTTCTGGCCCTCGGTCTGCTTCTGCTCCTCGGTGAGACGGAACTTGGACTGGGTGATCTCGAACTTTCCAGCGCCCTTGAGCACGACGTGGCAGACACGCAGGTTGGTGCCTCCGAGGTCGAGGGCGAGGTAAGATCCCTGTTCGTCTCCAGTGGGCCAGCCAAAGACGTAGGCGGGAAGCATGGGTACGGTCTGGCCATCTTTCTGAAGACCCTCCTCGAGCACGCCCACAAAGCGGTCGGTGATCATGCGCAGACGCTGAGGGGTGATGGTGAAGATCTTCTCAAAGCGCTCGTAGGCCTTGTTGAGCTCCTCCTCGCGCGCATGCGGGTTGTCCTCATGCTTGTGGGAGCTCGTGTGCCAGGATGAGATCTGTTGGGTCCAGGAGGGTTCGCGGAGGGGATTGAGTGTAAGCAGGGCGCGCTCCATGTACGAGATGCTGTGGTCGACGACATGGGACACTTTGGAAAGAGGGGAGGAAGAAAGGAGGGCGTGGGCGACAGCAGTCATATTGAAAGAGTCTCGTGAAGGCCAAGCGAGTCGATTGCTGAACGAGGTTGGATCTGGCTTGACTGATGAGATCAGAGCTCTGATGATGGTCCGAGTGCTTGGATGATGGAGATGCTGCGAATCCGAGCTGACGGACCGTGATGGCCATGTGGTGGATCGTGGAAGGAAGGATGCAGTCGAAGGCATGGCTCCATCTGCTTATATTGGATCGCGGTGCAGGTTCAGGACGAGAGAGGGAGTACTTACATGGGTCTCGAGTTTTTCGGTGCCAGAGCCACGACGCTTGCTGGCGAGTGAGATGGAGCCTCGACGGCTGGGGTTCTTGTCCGAAGAGAATGACATTGCTAGGCGGTGCGGACGTTGCTACGAGACGGGCAAGCAGAAGCAGCGAGGATGCCGGATGAATGAGCACGGGGGTCGAGGCTGTGGTGAGGAGGCAAGAAGAATGGTCAGCGATGAATCACCGATGAGGCCGCCACCTCGTCGAAGCCACGGGTTACTGCTAGACTTACTCTATGAAGGACTCGAGCTGGCTGAGTGAGACAGGAAGCAACTGCGACGACACTTGAATGGAAGTGTGATAAGAGGCAAGGCAAGATGAGTGTTGGATGACTTTTGCTCACAAAAGAGGCGCAGGGTGCATCACACACACCAACAACGAAGTCAAATTCCACCGAAAAATGTTCCGACAAGAAGGCAACAGCACACCGCAGCGCAGCCTTGGCAGCAACGCACTGATCAATCAACAAAAAAAAATGCTCACTCATCCCATAATCGGTACACCCCGGCCGCCTTGCCATACGCACCCTTCTTGTCCAAGTCATTTTGAGCGTACAGCAAGACCTCGACGACCGCATTGACGTGTTACGCCGCGACAGGACCATGTGGCCATTCAGCTCCTCCTCATCCTCATCATTACCCACGCCTGCGCCGGCGGCGTCCGCCGACAGGTGTCCGGTGGACGACGAGACACGCCAAGCATGGCTCAAGGCGAATCCGGGCAAAGCGCATCCCTTCCAGCCCGACACGACGCCGACACAGCAGCAGCAGCAGCAGCAACAAGCGCAGCAATCGCAAGCGGGGCCTTCGCGACCCTCACGCTACGGCAATGACGAGTCGCGGCTTTCCAGCGAGCGCGAGATCTCATCGATACCGCGCAGCTACTCTCCGCTCGCCAACCCAACAGCAGCGCAAGCCGCACAGCCGCCTTCGACGCCCTCGCCCACGGACGGGGAAGATTCAGACGGCAAATGGGTCTACCCCTCGGCGAAGCAATTCTACAATGCGATGAAGCGCAAGAATCAGAACCCGCAAGTGGCGGATATGGACGTGGTGGTGCCCATCCACAACGCGGTCAACGAGCAGGCCTGGCGCCAGATCTTGGCATGGGAGCGCATGTGGACGCATCGAGAGCAGGCCAAAGGCGAGATCAAGCTCGTCTCATTCAAAGGAAGGCCCAAGGACCTGACGTGGAGGGCATGGCTCAATGGATTGGCGGGCTACCAGCACCCCTTTGACAGGCACGACTGGACGGTCGAGAGAACAGGTGGGCAGCAGGTGCGCTACATCATCGACTTCTACACCGGCAAGGCACAAACAGCGCAAGCAGCAGCTCCAGCGCAGCCAGCGCGCTCAGACGAGAGGATAGCGGACAAGTTTGGGGCGGCAGCTCAAGCAACGACAGGATTGAGCTTCTACTTGGACGTGAGGCCGGCGCCGTCGACGCTCGAGGGACTCGCGATGCGATCGGCTAGATTGTGGAACAAGTACTTTGGCGCTGCTGGCTCTGCGCCGCATTAATTGCTCGCAAAGCATGCCAGCTCATGTATACGATATCGCTACATGTTTGCAAACCACAGCTCAATTCAGCATCCAGCATTCACCAGTCACCATCCACGAGCCTCGAAGACTGCTGCTGGAGATGGATCGGTGAGACTTCGGCTGAAAAAAAAAGGCGGACCTTGAAAATCCAGAAGCACAGTCTGCCTCTTGCTGGCTGCCCTTTGCTTCGGCGAGATTGTTCTCCCAGCTTGAAAGCGCACGCCTTCTTCTCAACATGACTTGTCAATTCTCAGCACAGCAGACATGCAACAAAGCGTCCTTTCTAGTGTGTATTTGACAGCGTGACAGAGAGTGTACAACCGCGCTTCTAGGCGTCTTGAGCATGATTCGTGACGGCGAGCGGTAACGGGGTGAGGAGTGAATGTGCTTCCGGTGCAGGCGATACTTGCAAGGGATTCCAGAGGGGTTTCCGATTGTCCTGCGAGGCGCATCGACACATCACTTGGAGAGAAGGCGCAGCTCGTGGTTGCGTCGGCCGTTGACCCAGTCCGGGTTGAGCAGCGTAAGCTCCGGAGTGCCCAGCAGAGCACGGTTGACCGCCTCCCACCCGAGCGCCGACGAGTGGTCCTGGTTGCCCACCTCGTACTTCCACGATCCGAATCGACCGCGGCTGTAAATGTCGTGCTTCTCCAGCTCAGGCAGCAAAGTGGCCAGCGCAGCGTCTCGTCCGAGCGAAGGCGTAGGGTAGCCGGGGGTGAACTTGCGGTGGTAGGTCGACACGATCTCGTCGTCGGCGTTGATGAGGTTGGTGTTGATGCAGCCCTGGATGGTCTCGGCCAGGATGGTTTGCGCGTCGACGGGCTTGAGGTGCGACTCGGAGACCTCCATCATGAGCGACCAGTACGGGCCCTCCTTGGCGTCCTTGGAGGGGGTGCCCTTGGACGGGTCGGCATACTGGAGCGTTGGCAGCTTAGCATCAGCCTGCGGGCAGTTGTAGGGCGAGTAGTTGGAGAAGATGGTGGCACGGTAGAAGGGGCAGTCGTCCTCGGGGAAGTAGAGCCAGCACTTGTCACCAATGCGAGGAGGAAGCGAACCGCGGATGCCGATACCAATGACGTGCGTCGACGAGGAAACAAGGCCCTCCTTGACGGCAGCCTTGAGCTGAGCGTGGTTGGTCTCGGCGGGAAGCTTGACGTTGTCAATCATAAAGTCGAGCTGCATGGTGCTGATGAGGTGCTTGTACTTGATGCTGGAGCCATCGTCGAGGTGGACAGTGTGTGCAACGGCATCGACCGTCTTGACGCGCTTGTTGAAAAGCAGCTTGTCCTGGGGCAGTGTACGAGCGACCGCCTTCCAGATACCACCGGTACCGTCGCGAGCGGGGAACTTGAAGGTGGCGTTGGGGCCCCAGTTACCTGCGACCTTCTTGTTGAGCGTGTTGGAGACCACGAGCTTGAGCGAGGGAGCGGCGACACGCTCACCGAGCCACTTGCACTGCATCATGGTGGTAGGAACAGCCCAGACCTTGAAGTTGTAAGGGCGCATGAAGAGGTCGGCGAGACCCTGACCCATCATTCGCATGATCCACTCGTCAAAGTTGGTAGGAGCATCCTTGGCACGCGCACGCTCCTCAGCAGCGTCGATCATGCCCTCGATGCACTTGACCTGCTCCTGGACGGGGAGCACCGAGATGTTGTTCTGGTAAGGGTAGGGGACCCAGACGTTCTTGGAACGGACGTAGGAGACACGCTGGTGCTCGTACCAGTCTTGCTTGTTGGGGAGAGCCTCGTGGATCATGTCGTCAAAGTACTGGTAGTGCGAGAAGATGACGTGTCCGCCGACGTCGAAGAGGAAGCCCTCGTCGGTGGTGTCGGTGGAAGCAAGACCACCCGCCTCCTTGTTGGCGTCGATGAGGAGCCATGGACCGTGGTTGAGCTGGTTGAGGCGTTTGGCGGCACCGAGACCGGTAGGGCCGGCACCGATGACGAGAGTCTCTACTTCGGTGGTAGACATGGTGTACGTGTATCGAGGGGATATGAACGAGCTTGAGGACGCGCACGTTCGAGAAGAGATGATGGTGACAGGAAGGGAGAGGCAGAGAGGATCGACGCTAGATTTGGATGTGAGAGATTTTTGGTGTTGGACAGAAGAAATGTCAGAGCGCGCGCGGTTCGCGGGCAGCTGACCAGACAAAAACAAGTGGCGGCCAACACTCAAATCCGGGAGAGAGCGAGTGGCCAGCACGCACATGCACACACACACGCATCCACCCCGTCCACACGCACACTTCGGATTTGGACGAGGCTCTGATCCTGCGCGAAGATCTTTTCGAGGCCCGATCGGCGTGTGAGCTGAGCACAATTGTCCGGAAGGAACAGGGGTGAAAGCAACTCCGGCGACAAGAGCGAACAAGTCAACTGCGAACGGATGGGCTGCTGCAAAGTTCGTTTGGAGTGCAGATCACTCCTCTTCCATCCCACAAGGGTTCCTTGTTGCTTCGCTAAGAGGCGATAAATTTCGAAATCTCTGATGAACCGAGCCAGGTGAGACAGCCATCCAAACACAGCCTTGTCCGACTGTCTGGCTTCGGCAACACCGTAGATGCTGCTGCAAATAGCAATCAAGCATAGCAGCACCAGTCAATACGATCAATCAAAGCGTCGAGATCGTCAGGGCCCGAGAGGCTCGACTGCTCAAGAACGTTGCCTCCTTGCTTGCTTGCTTGCTTGCTGATCGTCTCACCTCACGCCCACGGGGTTCAGTCCACGCGTGTGCAGCTGACCCCGAGGGTCCTGCAGCTCGACGGATCGACAAGTCAACAACTTTGTTGCCACGTTGGCCTCCGCCGGCCTCCTCGTCCGTCCCAGTCGTTTCCGTTCTTGAACATGACCTGCCCTCCGATTCGAACCGATTCGAGCTTCGGCGAGAGCGGATTCCCGCCAACACATCTTCTCCGTCTCTTCACTTGATCGTTTTTTGGAGGTTGCTTTCTTGTCAGATCGGCTCAATGTTCCAGCTATGCTCGAGATCGCCTCGATCGGGCTCAGATCCCGATTTGCTGATCGCTCCCTTGGCTGACGCGGGTCGCGTAAATCACCTGTGTGACTGCATGAGGAGAGCGAGACCAACACTTTTGAAGCTTCACAACTCAGCCAACGCCACACCCACCAGGCTCAGTCGAGCCAAATTGCTCCCCACTAGCGACCCCTCTCGTCGTCTTGTGACTCTGCTTGCTGCGGCTCAAATCTTCACCAGTATGATGATACCATGACGAGCCTGGCCATCGCCGACGTCCCCTGGATCTCAAAACGCATCAAGGCTTGCTGTCGACGAGCAAAGCTCTTCAGCACCCATGAGATCCTCCTCAGCCAACCACAGCAGCTTCAGCAGACATTACGCATCTCCTCACAAGACGCAGATCTTCTCTACCTTCAGGTGGCCACAGCATGTGCACCACCTCCCATATCTGTGCTTGCTGCACTCACCGGCGAGCTTCCCTCCGCGCACCTCGACGAAGCCCTCTTCGATGCCACTGAATGCAACGATGCAGATTCGGCCGACTTATCAGACTCGAGCGACGGACACGATGATCCAAGGATAGACCTCGGAATCCCTTCGTCCTCGATAGTGCCTCCGACTCAGGGATACGATGGCAACTTTCCAGGCGCAGAACGCTTCGTTTATGATTCCGATTCGGACTCGGACAGCGGTGCAAGCGCTGCTGCTTCGGATCACATGATGCACGATGATGTAGAGCTCCCTTCCACATTCCGTCGCCCCGAGCCGCAGCAGCTCGACGCCGATGAGGCAGATCCTGATGATCACCTCGACTCCGATCAAAATAATGGTTATTCATCGATCGCCAGGGACGTGCTCTCCCTTGGCCGTCAACGGCACCTACTCTCTAGCGGATCTCAGCAGCTCGACGACCTACTTGGAGGCGGCTTCCGCTCAGCCGCTCTCACTGAAATCGTGGGCGAGAGCGCCTCAGGCAAAACACAAACGGCTATCCAGGCTTGTACCTTTGCGACTCTCGGTTTCCAACCCTTGCCTCCAAAGGAGGACCAGAACGCATCTTCATCTACGGACGTCGTCTCGGACGGACTTGAAAGCGCCAATCTCCATGACATCCTCCACGGGTGTGGCGTGGCGACCTCGAGCGGCTCGCACTCTGCCGTCGGCGCATGCTTCATCACTTCAGCAGGCGAAAGGGCCGCCCACTCGATCGTCAATCGAGCTCTAGAGCTAGCCGACTTTGCTGTCTGCGAGCGCTTCGATCGCGTGCATCCAGCGCAACATACGGAAAGCTCCCAAAGCAGCTTGGATCGTCACATTTTGCTAGCGAGGGCCCTCGAGCTTGGTCGCGAGCAAGTGCTGCGCAATCTCCACGTGGCTTGCGTTGCCGACGTGGAAGCCTTGGAGCACGCTCTCAAGTACAGCCTTCCAGGCCTGATGAGTCGGTTGTCGTCCAGCTCGCGAGGTCAAGCTGCGGCGAAGTCTCCCGCGAGGGAGATTGGCATCATTGTGGTCGACAATCTGCCTTCTCTTTTCCAGGAAGACCCGGTGGCGAGCGACATCGATTCGCTAGTCCAGCGAAGCAAGATGCTCGTTGAGGTGACGGATGCACTCAAGCGTTTAGCTGCTGCTCCTCCGTCGAGGCCGCGTTCGACATTCAGCTCAGTCGGCAGAGCGGTGCTCGTGATCAATCACGTCAGCGACGCCTTCGGGGTCGACAAGGAGATCGCCAAACGCTTCGTCTTTGACTCTGCAGATCGCATCCGGATCCAGCGGTCAAATGGCAGGCAAGGAGGTCAGGACGCGGCCGGGCCGGCAATGCCTGGCGAATTGGCTCTGCCCGACTCTCCCTTTGCGATGGACTACGCCTCACAGTCAGCCTTCTTCAGTGGCCTGCTTGCATCAGTGCCGCCGACTTTGGCCGAAGCCATTGGTGCAAGGGCGCTGGAAGAAGCGAGAGGATCGAACGATGGCCCGCTCTACGTTCTCAATCCTCGCACAGCACAGCTCGGGCATACGTGGAGCAACCTCGTCAACGTGCGGCTTTTCCTCTCCAAGACGCGAGGCAGGGTCTCGATGCCTGACGAATCGGCTGCAGCTTCAGCGGCAGCGTCGGGCGAAGACGCAGCAACCAAAAAGACGACGATGACGACGGTTCGAAAGGCCGCTGTCGCGCTGAATCCATTTGGCCCGACGATGCTCGATCCGACCATCGACAGCAGTGATTGTGTTGCGGGTGTGAGAGGCAAAAAGGCCGTCCGTCAACTGCGCTTCGTCATCACACCGGGTCGGGCGGTCCACGCTCTGAACGCGTACGCCGCTTCGTCGGCGAATCCTGCCGTTGTTCCGACCATGAGTCAGATGCCAGCGCCACACGCCACATCATCGCAAGCTGCGCATGGCGGAGAAGCGGAGGACGAGGAGGACCTCTCGGCGAGGCGCTCGAGGATCATCACTGGCTGGCTATGGATCAATTCCAGTCGCAGGTGGTGGACGGCATGGGTCCCGCCTAACAGTATCATCTGATCGGTCGCCGACACATGGATTGGGACCGTCATCTTGTATCGCATCGCATCGCATCGCATCGCAACGCATTTTTCTCTGATTCTGTACTGCGCAGACTGGGGCTTGGTTCGCAGAGTGCGTAAGCGCATGGCTTCGACTGAAACGACACCAGCCTGACCGGCCCGGGCGGTCGTGCGGCACCGCACGGCGAAGCTCGCCCGAGTCCCTGAGCACACGCTGTTTCATCTGGGAGATCCTGTTCCTCCTGCAGGATCTGTGGTCCTGCTTGTGCGCTGCATTGTGTGGGGCGAGACTTCAGACGAGGACGCGACTGAAGCAGTTCGGTGCGTGACTTAGGTTGAGTCTTCGTCTCAGATCACTCATTCATCAGACAGCGAGAAACAGCGAAGATACTATGTGACATAAACAACCTTCATGACAAGACGAGGAATGACACCCATCAAACGTGGTGAACGAACACAGATTGAGACGAATCTACGTGGGGTACTTTTGAAGCGGAACAAGGTGCGCGCTTAGTGCGTGCCGCAGTGGACGGAGCCATCAGCGTGAGTGTGGCAGTCGGCGCTGGCAGCCTGAGTAGGTGTTGCGGCAGCAGCGGACTGCTGGGCGGCGCTGGCGCTGGTGGAGCTGGCGGCACTCGCCGTTGCGCTCGACGAGCTCGACGAGCTCGTGCTAGCATGTGCGTGACCCGAGTGGTCCACCTCGTCCACCTCACCCACACAGCCCCACTTGGTGAGCTTGCGGCTGTACACATCCAACGCAAAGTACTGCAAGCTGTGCTGGTTGCTCACCGCAGCGCTGCTGTTGGTCTTGGCGAGCTCGAGGACGTCCTCGTAGCTATCCGAGTAGTGGTGGATCTTCTCGTGCATGAATTCGGGCACGTGCATGGCGCGGTGCATGAGGTCGGCGCCAAAGTACACACTCGGGTTGTCCTGGGCCAGTTGGAATCCTTTACCGCACAACGCCTCGAGCGGGCGACGCGAGAAGAAGGAGAGGTCGCAAATGACCGTCTCGGCAGTAGCGTTGTTTCCGCGCCAGTGCCCGTTCCATTCGGGCAAGCGACAGTTGTTGTCCGGGTTGTCGCAGCGAAGAAGCGCATCACCCTTGTCGCCGTACACGAGCTGCATGAAGTAGCCCAGCACAGGAGCAGGGTCCGCAGATGCACCAAAGTAGGTGGTGAAGAACTCCGAGTTCGGGTGGTTGAGGATGTAATGGATCGAGTTCAGGCCGAGCTTCTTCATGTCCGAGATACCGGACGAGAGCTGAGCGCGCTGCGTGCCGTTGCACGACTCGTGGATGCGCCAGTCGGCGTCGATCGAAGACTCGGGGGCGAACGAGGAGTAGGCCGAGGAGGTGTGGTCGCGCGCCGAGAGGAACGAGAAAGGCGCGGCCAGGGCCGAGGTGGCAGAAAGAAGAGCGACGAAGGGAAGTGTGAGATGCATCTTGAAGAATGTACTTGAGTATAATGTATCAGGTGGGATGGTTGATGGAGGGAATATCCGGAGTTGGAGAAACGACGATGCTACTTATATTCTTGCATCGGACAAGAAGCGGCATCGAGCGGGTGGATGTTGGACGCCCATTCAAGGTGCAGCTTGCGCCATCACAAGCATACGATGCACAGTTCTTGCTGCGTACAAGTTCTACAGGGTGGATTGAGAAGGAGGCCTTCTCGTACTGGACCCATTCGCCACACTGCAAAGTTCTTCGCGCGAATCGGTCAAAGTTCGGACCGACAAACAAATGCGACAAGAGCGTGAGAAAGAAGCACCCGGGAGGTTCTCAAAACTTTGCCCACGTCGACGAGCCTGCAGAGCAAGCGACGCCTGCCTGAGCTGGGAAGACGCTTTCTCAATAACCACGGCGATATCGGACAAGAACGGCCGTTGCATCCTCAATTTCAGGGTCGCTGGTCGTTTAGTAAGAGGACCTTCGAGGTAAGGTCCTAATCGTCACAGATCTGGAAGCGAACAGGCGGTGGAAAGCATCGGAAGAAAGGAGAAGAGGGCGAGAAGATCGCCGGTGCGGGCCTCGCTCTGAGTCAGGGATCGCAGCACCCTTTCTTGGCACGTCGAGGCAGAAGGAAGCTCCAATGATTGGTAGGCGAGGATGACCGATCGGCTCAGAGCTTGACGAAGCCTGCAGAGGCCGAAAGATGTGACGGCGTGTCGTGTGGCAACCACACGTTGCCACGTTATCCCCTCAGCAGAAAGAGAGTCAGGGACTTGGCAAATTTGCCAAGGCAGCAGCAGCGAACGGGCAACTGTCACAGTACCGATTCACGATTCTCCCAGCGGTCGTCAGGACAGACTAAAGGCACAGCACCCGATGCACGTGGAGGCAATCGTCAGAAGGAGGGGATGTCGTGAGGTAGCGGCAGCGGCAGATCTTGTTCCGTTGCGGACAGGCGACTGCAGTTCTTGACAGCTCTCCGCCTGAAACGCAAAATGCTTGGCGGCGACCTTTCCAGTTACGCTCCCCAGATCATCCTGAAAAATTTGCCACAGGCTTTGACCGGATCACCTCGTTGCGACGTTCGCGTAGAGTGCATGCGATTCCCTGTTCCAGATCCGGCTCGCTAGTCCGCGGATCCTGAAGCGCACGCTCGAAAGCGATAAAGTGTCGAGTAGTCAGGGACGGAAGAAGGCGGCGAGAAGGCATCGGACACCTTTCGGGTGGAAAATTCGGTCGCCTCCGATGCCAAGACCCGTTCGTGCATGCAGCTCCTTCCACTCTGTGTGAGGTCCCTCGAAGCAGTCAAGAGTATCTCGAACAGGCACTGGTCTTTGCAGCGCAAGATCAAAGCCTCAAGAAGATGTTGCAAATATGTGCATTGGCGTGGGCGTGGGCGAACGTGAGCGTGCTGCTTTACTGCGAACCAAGTCAAAGTTCGGCGAAAAATTCACCTTGAAGAGTTCTGCAAGGTGATTTGGTTGGACGGCAGCGAGCATGTCCAGATGGCTGCTTTTCTGAGTGGCAAGTGGATAGAATGGAGCTCTATGAGCCATGTGAGGCTGCGGCTTGTTCGCCGGTGAGCTCCTTCCATTGAACTTTGGCGGAGGAGATACTTAAACGAGGCTGACGATTCTCACCTTGAACGCTATCGCCTCCGTCTGTCTATCTACCACGTCTACTGCCATCACAGACTTAACCATGATCGGAATGACCATCAAGAAGAAGGCCACGGTAGCGGCTGCACTGGTGCTCCTCGCCACTGTGACAAGCGCTCCTTTGGCTGCCGCTCAGTCGATCACTACAGAGGTCACTGTCAGTGGCACTCCGACCACCACTGTCATCTCTCCTTCTCCTACTGGTCGAGGGTATTGCGAGTTCTTTGTGGACCACTGGGACTGCGACTCAACCCGTCCGGAAGCTACTGCCGTCGCAGCGACGACCGCAAGTGCTTCCAGCTCCGCAGCAACCATCGAGCCGTCTCCCGTTGGCCAGAGCTGCACGCTCCACGGCGACCACTACCACTGCGATGGCCCTTCCACAGCGACGGCCGTAGCAGCAGCAGCAGAGGCGAGCCCCACCGGCCGAGGCTCGTGCACCTTCCACGGCGATCACTGGGACTGTGACGGCGACTCCGCCGACTCGCACGCAGGCCACGACCACTCCGGGCACAGCCACGCCGGGCACTCGCACGGCCCCGACGCAGTCTACGGTTGCGGTCTCGCCCCTCTCGAGGACTACAACCTTCCTCTGCACATCGGAACGATTTTCATCCTCCTCGCTTCGTCCGCCTTTGGCTCGTACTTTCCCATCCTGGTCCACTCGAAGAACGGAGAGCGCAAGTGGACCGACGAGGTGTTCTTCGTCTGCCGTCACTTTGGTACGGGAGTGCTGATCAGTACGGCGTTCGTCCACCTGTTGAGCCACGCGATGCTCTACTGGTCGAACGAGTGCGTGGGCGAGCTCAAGTACGAAGCGACGGGACCGGCGATTGCGATGGCTGCGGTGTGGCTGGTGTTCTTGGTCGACTTTTTCCTCCTCCGCGCGCTGAGGAAGCGAAGCGGTGCTGGTTCGGTCTGCAGCCACGACGGTGAGCAGCAGCTTGCGTCCGCCCACACGGTCGAGAAGCGCGAGTCCCACTCTTCGCTCGACCACTCCGCATCGGAGGAGAGCACCTACGGCGGTCTCACTTATGCTCAGGCCAAAGTGGCCGAATGGGACGTGATCGCCATCGAGCTGGGTATCATCTTCCACTCGATCCTCATCGGCATCACGCTCGGCGTCGCCACTGGCGCTGGCTTTGTTGCGCTGCTCATCGCGATCACCTTCCACCAGCTGTTCGAGGGGCTTGCGCTCGGCTCGCGTCTCTCGCTGCTCACGTGGAAGGGTGCGTGGTACAAAGTGATTATGGCGACGGCGTTTGTGCTGACGACGCCGCTGGGTGTCGCCATCGGTGTGGGTGTGAGGTCCAAGTTCAACGGCAACGGCGCGGGGACGCTTATCGTCCTCGGCACGTTCCACGCGCTCAGCGCGGGTATCCTGCTCTACACCGCCCTCGTCGAGCTGCTCAGCGGCGACTTCATTCACAGTAAGCAGATGCAGAACAGCTCGTTGGGCAGGTGCATCGCTGCCGTCGCCGCGCTGACAATCGGTATCATGGCCATGTCGGTGCTCGCGCTGTGGGCTTAGATGGATCATACTTGGCTTCGCGATTGACTTGTACGATGTCCAAAATGTTAAACGGAATTTCATTGGTATTGCTTCACTTCTTGCCCGCCTTCTCTCGCTGAGCCTTGAACTCGTCAACCCACCTCTTCTCCGCCTCGCCCTTTGGCAGCACAACAAGGCTCAGAATGCCATCTTGCATCACGAGGCCATCTCGATCCCTGATCTTATCCTCGCCCTTCGCGCTGTCCCCTTCTTTGAACGCCTGATCCATCACCTCGCGCAGCGTCAACTTCTTCCCCAACTTCAGCAGACGCTGTCGCCTTGTGGTGGCATAAACCTGCAGGTTCCCCTCGTAATACTCGCCCTTGCCGTCCCAGGGAAGCGACCCGCGCGCCGAAGCCGGGAACATGGTGCTGATGTAGGTGGCGAGCGGCGTGTCCTCGTGGTAGTCAGAGATGAAGTCGGACTGCGCGTGTTGCGGATACATGAAGAAGAGGGGCACGACGAGCGGTGTGCGGATCACGTCTGGGGGCGTCCACTTGCTCGATAGCGGGAGTTTGAGGGAGGATTGTTCGGGCAGGGATTCGGGGTCGAAGTGGGCGGGTTGCGGGTTGTCTGGCGGTCTTGGCGTTGTTTCGAGCCACAGTCCGCGTACTAGGAGGGCTTGTTGAAGCGTTTTTGACATGCCCTCTTCTCGGCGTTTGCGCTCGGTCGCATCTGCAGCGGCTTGGGCTTGCGCTTTGAGCCGGGACTCTGCTTTCACCTTCAGTGCGCGGATGGCATCGTTGCCGGAATTGACGCCGAGACCATGATCCGCGCAGTCGATAGCGTCCTGACACCTGTCCAGCGCCAACAGCGCCCTCGTGGCGCGGTAGTACGCTTTCTCGCTCCGCGGGTTCAATCCGAGCACGGCACTCGTGTCCCTGAGTGCCGCTCCGTAGTTCTGCAGCTCGAGGTTGCACGCTGCGCGATTCGCATAAAGCGTCTCAAGAAGTGCTTTGTCCTCGGGTGAAGCGTCGATGGCTTGGGTGTAGAAGCCGAGCGCCTCGCGGTAGCGTTTGGATTTGAAGTAGTCGTTGGCTTGCGATTTGAAGTTGGAGGCGACCTCGTCCGGTGTGCCGTCGAATGCGAGGGACTGCAGCGCTTCGAGAGCGGAATCAGTTGCAGGATCTGACTCGGTAGGGAGGTCCTTCATAAAGAGCGGGACCGAGTCCCAGGATTTGAGCGTCTCATCGAGATTGCGCGGGGCAGAGGTGGGCTGCGCATAGGTGAAGTCGCCGGATCGAGGGGGTGGTTTAGGAAGGGCAGCTTTGGCGGTGCTGGAAGCGGAGGTCGAGGAGGACGGCTGTGAGCTGTCAGCTATGGATTCGATGACCGCCATTTTGAAGGATGAGGGGATGCCGGTGCGAGGAGGGAAGGTATGATGGAGAAGGGACAGGAAGAAGTGTGGAGGAAGCCAGCCAATCTGTGAATCTTCTCAAAATTTCTCTCAGCGTGGGCCAAGATCCAAGTCCGAATTCCGAGTTCGCCAGGGTATAGCAGCCTTGCTAACTTATACAGAACCTCCTTCTCAACGACAGACAAGCGACAAGATTCCGAATGAACGCTTGCTTGTTTACACAGCGCTGAATGTAGGATGCTGGAGATGTTGGTATTGGGAGTCGGCGTCACCTTCGAGCTTTTGGCATCGGGACAAAGGCATCCAACGGCGACTTGGTCATTTCCCTCCTTGCTCGCTCCCTCTCTGCGTCTTGGTCATTTCTGCCAGCTCTTCGCGCCGCCCTTCGATCCATGGCTTGCTGAAGCTCTGCTGAGACCTGTCCTTGTTCTGCATCGCTGGCGGCTGCCGAGTCTGTAGACGATAGTTGACCCTTGGCTGCCAACCTGGCCCTACTTGCTGCCCACACATCCTGATCTGGTGTTCGCTCCTGCTGCAGCACGCCTCCAGCGCCTTGTTCTTGCTGAGGCACTCTCGTCTCGGCCTGCTGCTCCACGTTCTCATCTACCACTGTCGACGTGGGCACGGGTCCCCCACCCGAACTCGGCACCAATTTCTGTGCACGATCCTTTGCCTCGTTATGCGCCTCCAATCTGGCTTGCTGTTCCCTCTCCCTCCTCTCCTTATCCTCCAAAGCTAGCTTGGCGGCATTAGCCTGTGTGAGCAGGATGCGCTCTCGATCCTTGACCAGTTCCTCGATGGAAGGCGCCTCGCGTCGAGTATGCCGCAACCACATGACCCATTGAACCGGGATGGATCGCTGGTCGTAGTCGCCCATTTCTTTCTTCTCCTTCCACTGGATTGAGCGCCGTGTATGCCGCGGATCGAGTGAGCCGGAGAGCGAGGGCAACTCGAGGTACGAGTTGCCTGCGAGGTCTTGGCCTACGATGTACTTTGCATTGCCGATGCGGAGCGTTTTTGCTAGCCTCTGAAAGAGACTCATGGTGGGCGCAGATATGAGACAGCACCGTCAGATTCGGTTCGACTCGAATGTGCACCGTGTGTGAGCGACCTTGTGATCGTGGAGTCGAGAGGACAGCGTCGGTAGCCAGTGGGATGACGAGGAGGAGAAGCAACGCCTTGAAGCCTCCTCCCTCGACTGAGCACCTTTGGAAAAGATTCATTCCATAGGCTGACCAAGCCAACTCGAAAAATCAAACAGGAAATTGGGGACCCAAAAAGGATTCTCGCAGCAAAGCCTCTCTCTGTCGCGCGTGATCGGGTGCCAAAAAGTGTTGTTCTCAGAGCGGTGATGCTGTTGTTGTGGAGCAGAGCAGAGCACCGTGCTGCGCCGTGGAATTTCACTCAAATTTATCAACGAGAAGAGTGGTTTGAGCGTAGCTTTCCGATGAGTGTCACTTTCTTCCAGACCATCACACTGTCACTCGACTCAGCCTTATACACAGCACATCATGGCGTCAGCAGAGCATGTGCAGTTCGTCTGTACCCTTCTCGCTCACACTCTCAACCCTTCCGAACGCCAAAACGCAGAGCAGCAGCTCACACAAGCACAGTCGCAAACTGGCTTCCTCCAAATCCTCATCGCCGTCATCCAGAATGCTCTGGTCCCCAGCAACGATGCTGTCCGTCTCTCCGCCGCCATCAAGCTAAAGAACATCTGCAAGACTGCATGGGACGAGATCGCTGCAGAAGAGTCCGCTGTAGAAAAGGTCGTCGATCCACAAGACAAGCAGGCACTCAAGCAGAGCATCATTCCCTTGCTTGTGTCCATCTCAACCACAACCGATGGCAGGCCACCTGCTCCCACAAACGTACGATCCCAATTAGAAGAAGCTATCGCCCTCGTCGCAGAAAAGGACTTCCCACATGACTGGCCCAACCTCATGGACGACCTGGTCCCCAAGCTGGCAAGTCAAGATGACCAGCTCGTACTCGGCATCCTTCGCACAGCACACACCATCTTCTACAGGTGGCGATCCGCCTTCCGCAGTGACGATCTCTACAGCGAGATCAACTACGTCCTCGGCAAATACGCTGTTCCGCATCTTGAACTGCTCAAACGCACCGACCAAAGACTCCTCGACCCAGCAACCCCCTCCGCATCACTTCCTGCCCTCGGCAACATCATGAACATGGCATTGCAAGTCTTCTACGACCTCTCCAGTCAAGATTTGCCGCCACAGATCGAAGACAACATCGGTCCCATCATGGAGATCCTCGCGCGCTGGATCTCGCAATCTCGACCTGAACTCGACTCGGATCCAGACGAGCCCTGCGCGCTTCAAGAGATCCGTAGCAGCATCTGCGAGATTGCCGAACTCTACGCCAAGAGGTATCTCGACGCTTTCACTCAGCTTCCCGTCTTTGTTCAGGCCATCTGGGAGATGCTTGGCACATGCACACTTTCGCAGAAGTACGACACTTTGGTCTCCAAGGCCGTGGGGTTCCTGTCGACCGTGGTCAGAATGGGCAGCTCGCGCGAAATGTTCCAATCCACAGAAACGCTCGAGCAGCTTTGCAGCGCCATCATCTTGCCCAACATTGCCATTCGTGAGGCCGACGAGGAGCTCTTCGAGGACAATCCCATCGAGTACATCCGACGAGACCTCGAGACCAGTATGGAGGCCGACACGCGCAGGAAAGCCGCCTCCGAGTTTTGCAGGTCGCTCATGGAGTTCTTTGCAGCAGAAGTCACCAGCATCGTCTCGAGGTACATCATGCAGTACCTCGAGCAGTACCGTGCCGATCCACAGGCCAACTGGAGGCAGAAAGATACCGCCATCTACTTGCTCACTTCCATCGCCTCCAAGTCCTCCACAGCCCAGCGAGGTGTCACGTCCACCAACGAGCTTGTTGACGTCGTCCAATTCTTCTCCGACAACGTCTTTGCCGATCTCCAGCAGAGCGCTGATGACTCGCCTAGCCCCATCCTGCAGGTGGACGCCATCAAGTACCTCCACACTTTCCGCAACCAGCTCACAAAGGAACAGCTCATCTCGGTCCTGCCGCTTCTCGTGCAGCACCTCGAGAGCTCGCAGTACGTCACCTGCTCGTACGCTTCGATCACCATCGAGCGCGTTCTGGCACTCAAGAGGGACGGCAAACTGCTCTTCACCCCACAAGACGTGCAACCCTTTGCGGAGAACATCCTCATGGCGCTCTTCCGCAACATCGAGCGCGGCACCACACCGGAAAAGCTCGCCGAGAACGACTACCTGATGAAGTGCATGATGCGCATGCTCGCCACCGTGCGCGAAGCCATCGCCCCCGCCCACGCCGCCATTCTCGGCCATCTTGCCAACATCCTCACCGAGATCAGCAAGAACCCGTCCAACCCGCGTTTCTCGCAATTCCTCTTCGAGTCCATCTCGGCGCTCATCCGCTTCACCGTCGCTGCGCAGCCCGAGAGCCTGGCCGCATTCGAAGCGCAGCTCTTCCCGCCGTTCACCATGATCCTCAGCCAGGACGTGGCCGAATTCCAGCCGTACGTCTTCCAGATTCTGTCGCAGATGCTCGAGCTGCACACCACGCAGGGTCTGCCCGAGGCCTACTCGTCGCTCTTGCCGCCGATTCTCACACCGGCGTGCTGGGAGAACCGCGGCAACGTGCCGGCGCTCGTCCGCCTGGTGCGCGCCTTCCTCGCTAAGGACGCACCGCGCATCGTCGCCCAAGGCCAGCTGGCCGCCATGTTGGGCATCTACCAGAAGCTCATTTCCACTCGAGTCAACGAGGGTGCTGCCCTCGAACTGCTCGAAACCATATTCGCTGCTGTACCGACCGATGCGCTAGAGAACTACAAACGCGCGGTGCTGACACTGCTCCTGACGCGTCTGCAGCAGACCAAGACAGACAAGCTGGTCAAGGGCACTATCCATCTGGTGAGCAGCATCGCTCTGACGGACAAGGGTCCCGAGTACGCAGTGGAGATCTTCGAAGCTGTGCAGCCTGGGCTGTTCGCGCAGATTGCACAGGGGATCATCGCGCCGGACCTGGCCAACGTCGCCGAGCGCCAGAAGAAGGTGGTCAGTGTCGGATTTGGACTGCTGCTGCTGCGATCGCAGCGTCTGCGTCAACCGCCCAATGTGCAAGTGCTGCCAAGCCTGCTTTCGGCGCATCTCAAGCTGCTGCTCACGCCGAGCTCGGCAGCCGCAACGGCAGGGGAGGACGAGCTGTTCGCCGACGAAGAGGCGACCAGTGCCGGGTTCCAGTCGAGCTTCAGCCGGCTGGCCGCGAGTGAGACGGCCAAGGTGGATCCCACCAGGGAGACGCTCCAGGGCGCAGAGGTGAAGGTGTGGTTCAAGGCGCAGCTCGAGAAGTTCAGAGGCGAGGTTGGGGATGCGGTTTGGGGACAGGTGTGGGGCGGTGTGGATGCGGGATTGAGGCAGAGCTGGGAGCGCCTGTGACGGGGTCGCTCTGTGAGATGCTGAATGGATAGAACGTCGAACTTGATTGGCTGCTGTCTGTCTCGGGTGTGAAAGGAACGCTGTGAAATCGATTGAGAGCACCCGAAGCTGCGCATCTACTCGAGAGAACACTGCCAGCAACCCTCACCAGTGCCTTGCCCGAGAGCGCGCATCGTGCCTGCTGCATCAGTGATCCGAGCCCGGACCATGATCCCCCCCACACACACACGCTCGCACACACATCACGATCGTCCACTGAGACTTGAAACCATCTATGAAATTGACAACTAAGCAAAGCGACGTCCATCTTGCCTCGGCTAAATCGGCTCCTCCCTGGGCTCGATGAGGATCTCGTTCATAGCCACGTGTTCGGGCTGCTTCAATGCATAGACGATAGCATTAGCGACGTCGCTAGGGTCCAGAATCTTGGCACCGGTGGGTTCGCCGTACTTCTTGACCGCCTCTTGGTCGCTGCTCATCCCGAGCAGATCCGTAGCGGTGTTGCCCGGTTGCACCGACGTCACCCTCAACCCGGTGTCGGAAGTCTCGAGGCGCAGACTCTGCAGCGTCGCTTCGACGAAAAACTTGCTCGCGCTATACACGCCGAGACCGGGGAAGACCTTCCTCCCCGCATCGGAGGAGATCGCCACGATGTGACCCGCCTTGCGCGGCAACAACCGTGGCAGCGCCGTGGACAGCACGTTGAGCAACCCTTTACAGTTGACATCCACCGTCTGCTCCCACTCGTTCACCTGGACGTTGTGCATCATGGTGAAGTACATCACGCCGGCGCACGAGACAATGATGTCGATCGGTCCGAGGACGTCGGTGGTGGTCTGCATGAGCGATTCGACCTGGTCGCGAGCGACCACGTCGGTCTTGTGCACGTGCACCTTGCCGCCCTGGACCGAGGTAGGGGCGCGCGAGAGCTTGACCAAGTCGGACTTGAGGGTTTCGAGCGCTTCGACGCGACGAGCGGCGAGCGCGACGTGAGCGCCTTCCTTGATGAGCGCCTTGGCGACTGCAGCGCCGATGCCCGACGAGGCACCTGTGACGATGGCCACCTTGCCTCGGAGCGGGAACTTGGGGTCGAAGGCGCTTCCCGCAGCAGCAAGACCGTTGGTGCCGTTACCGACACCGTTGGGCGTGCTGGGCACACTCGAAGGCTGCTGCGACATCCAACCACGCGCGTACCAGTGACGAGCGTACGTCTGCAGCAGCTTGGCATCCACCTTGGGCCTCTCGAGGCCATTCAGCGCGGGACGAGTAGCATCGTCCTTGAGCGCAATGATGCCCGTCAGGAATTCTTCTGAAGGCATACCCGAGCGCAGGATGTCGACCGTCAAGCCGTGGTCGCCTCCCTTGGCGGAACCTCGCTTCTCCTGCCACAGCGAGACCCACGATTTCCAGTCGCTCCTGGTGGTCGGGTAACCGAGCTTGTCCAAATGCTGGAAGAGCAGGTGACAGTCGATAGGCTCGCTGTCACCCAGGTGGTAGATGCGCTGTTCGGCATCGATGTGGTTACCGATGGCGATGATGCCGCGGCTGACGTAGTCCACCGCCGTCATCTCGATGTGCCAGTTGGGGATCTCGGGAGCAACACCCAGGTGGACCGATTCGACGATGAGTGCCGTGATGAGATCGTACGTGTTGGTCGAGCCCGTCTCGGAGTGACCGCTGAGCGTGCCGATGCGGATGACGTTGGCGGGCAGACCACGCTTGGCAGCCTCGAGCACGAGCTGTTCTGCGACCCACTTGGTCTGACAGTAGCCATCGAGCAGCTTGTCCGGCACGTCTTCGAGGGGCATGACTTCGGATTCGGACCAGCCCGTTTGCGAAGGCGGCAGCACGCCATTGGTCGAGACGTACTGCACAGTGGCGTTGCAGAGGAAGGCAAGGCGCAGGACCTCGCGGGTGCCTTCGACGTTGGGGTCACGCAAAGCAGCGTAAGGGTAAACGAGGTTGACCTGGGCGGCGCAGTGAACGATCACGTCGACGTTACCGACGAGGCCCTCGTACACTTCGGGCACGAGTCCGAGTCGATTACGCGACAGGTTGGCGGGCAGAACGTCGATGCGGTCGAGCATGGAGTGGTCCCAGAAGCCGAGGTCGAGCATGTTTCGTCGCAGTCTGGCCATCGCGGCGGATCGGTCGGTGCGGTAGGGAGCATTGAAGCGGATGAGGCAGACGATGCGAGCCGTCGTGTTTTGGAGCAAGTCGTGCAGCAAGAAACCCCCAAGGAACCCCGTTGCACCGGTGAGCAGGATGGTCTTGGCATCGGTCAGAGTGATGGGAGCCACCTTGTCGGGGGAAGCGAGCTTGAACTCGGGAGCCAACTCGATGTCGGCACGCAGCACAGTGGGCAGATCGGCCTGAACAGCAGCGTTGTAGCCGTCACGAGCGGCCAGCGTGATGCGAACGTGGTCCTGGAGCGTAGGGTGACCGGCTAGCTCGCCGAGAGGCACAGTGAAGCCACCAAGCGTCTTGGAGATACGCGTAGCCAGATCAGCAAGCAGCAGCGAATGGCCACCAAGGTCGAAGAAGCTGACGGTCTTGCCCCCCTCGAGAACCGTGTTTGGGTTGGTGTTGAGCGAGAGCGCCCAGAGCTGTGCGATCGACTTGAGGTTGATGGTCTCATCTGGTGCGGGGCTCCTTGCTCTAGAGTTGGTGCCGCTTGCAGCAGCGATGGCAGCCTGCGGATTGGGAAGCTTCTTGAGATCGACCTTGCCCGAGACCTCGTGGGTAGGCAGCGAATGGAGAACCACCCAGAGAGTCGGGATCATGTAGTGAGCGAGGTGCGAGACGAGGACCTGTCGAGCGCCAGGGCTATGTCCGTTGTCGTCGATGGTTAGCACTGTGCGATCACTCTCGCCCTCGTCAGGCACGATATAGGCGACGAGCTGACGTTCGAGACCCTCGCCATGCGCCACGACGGCACAGTTGCTGACGTCAAAGTTGTCGACGATGGCCTTTTCCACGATGGCTGGTACGATCGAGTAGCCTCGGATCTTGATCATGCCACCTACTCTGCCGGTAATTTCGAGCAGACCGCTCTCTGGCACGATACGAGCCAAATCGCCCGTTCGGTATTTGCGGGCAGTTGGCGCAGATGCAAACGCGTCCTGAGTGAAAGCTTTTGCGGTAGTGTCGACAAGGTTGAGGTAACCACGAGCGAGAAGGTCGCCTCCGACGTAGAGCTCGCCTGGCTCACCGTTCTCCAAACGCTTTCCATCTTCATCGAGAATGTATGTGTGAGCGAGGTCCATGGGTGGTCCGACAGGACAGTAAGGAGCATCGTCGGGCAAGGTGGGGAGCATCTCGCGCAAGTCGCCGCAAGCTACCTCGTGGGTCTCACTGGCACTGTAGCAGTTGAGCAGGCGGGTGTTGGGGAGGGCCTTGATGGCTCTTCGTGCGAGATCTGTGGTGACGACTTCGCCGTTGAGCCAGAGCGCGCGCAAGTCTGGAAGCTTGCTGCCGAGGTTGTGGTGTCGGGCGAGGACAGCAGCGAGAAGGGTGGGCGTCATGAGCGTCTCTGTGATCTTTTCGTTGGCAAGGAGCTCGACGAGCTTGACTGGGTCATAGCTTGCGTTATCTGGGACGGCGTAGGTGGTGGCACCGCGCAGGAGAGGGCGAATGATCTCCCAGATGAAGTAGACATTGCAAGCCACGCGATCGGTAGGGTTGAGGTCGTTGACGGCAAAGCGGAGGTCATACGACTTGACGGGAGCACGATGCGGGTTGGCGATACCTTTTGGCTTGCCCGTGGTGCCGGAGGAGTAAGAGACGAAGGCGAGGCGCTCGAGGTCGGTCTCTTGTGGGAGAGGCGGGAGCGACGAGGAGGACGCGGAATTGGCATCTGCGGGCTGGAAGAGCGTCTTTGCTTGATCCGCATCGTCGATCAAGATGGAAGGAACCGCTTTGGGTAAGAGCTTTGCGTGCTCGGATTGTGTGACGATGACGGCCGGATTCGCGTCCTTGATGACCTCGTGAAGAAGACCTAGCGGGTAAGCGAGTTCGAGGACGAGGAAGGCGCCACCAGCTCGCAGGGCAGCAAGACAGGCGATGACATAGTCGGCGCCTCGACCCATGAGGATGCCGACGAGCGAGTCGCGACCGACGGCATGTTGAGTGCGGAAGTAGAGCGAGAGGCTCTCGACCTTTGCATCGAGCTGAGCATAAGTGTACTTGGCGGAAGGGTCGATAAGCGCTAGAGCGTCGGGGGTGGCCTTGACCTGCTTGCGAAAGAGCGCATTGAGGTCGAGACTGGTGTCGAGGATCGCCATGGTGGCAGTGGAGCCTCGTGAGGATGAGCTCAAGGAAAGACTCCGTTTGGCCTGATCAAGCTGAGTTTGGCGAACGAGCTACGTCGATGTGAAGGAAGAATGTGACAGCTTCAGATGTAGCCGATACACTAGACGGGTGATCCGACAACGAGGCTGTGATGCTGACTAGATCGTGACGGAAGCGGTGCGAACGTCGGAGTGCCCGTCGAGGAATGGCGTTGTGGGCGAGTGAAAAGCGTGATGGTCCCCACAGGCGTGAGAGTGAATGGGTGGGGTCCGCAGAGAAGACCAGAGAAAGGTGAGACAGTTGAGCGACTCTCAATCAGAAGAAAGCGCTGTGGCCATGCATGTCATATGTCTGTGCGTCGATGCACCCTTTCTTCTCAACCCGCGTAGCACGACATTTTTTTGGTAGCATCTTCTCCCCCCCGCCAGCTAGGATCTACGTTGCAGATCAGTTTGTCGAGCTTCGTATCGTTCAAGCCTTCTCCCTTCGCAGCTAAGTCAATCATGCTATGAAAGCTTAACTCAGCCTCTAGCTGCGCAAGAAGCGATAGATCAAGCCAAATTCCTTCAAGAAGGGTGAACTGATATGAGGAGACCGTCCTCAACGCCAAGATGGACGGCAACCATCTTGACCGTGAAATCCGCCGAATCACGCCAACACGAGCCAAGATGAGCGAGCAAAAGTACAGTCAGCATGTTAACTTTGCCCCAACACCAACGTCGACACGTTTTCAGCACAAGAGCACCGCGCTGTCTGAGCCCAAACTGGAGCGACGCTGCCGTGCCAGTCTTGATGGAAAAGAGGCGATGAGAGATTGATGAAGCCTTCAAGACTTGCTTCGACCTAACAACCTGATTTTCTCCGGAAGTCGGTCGAAGCTGTCCAAGGGTGGAGGCATTGCAAGGGTCTTTCTTCTCTGGTTCAATTGTTGCTTCTTCCTCCGACCATGTCCATAGCATCGTAGCACCTCGAGCGCTGGCTCGACCAGCAACAGCCACAGACAGTATGCCGCCCAAGAAGCTGTCCATCTCTCGCATTCGTGCCGACAGCAGGGTGCGCAGCGACGATCCCGATCTCAATCGCTCTTCATCTTCTTCATCGTACAGGAGAAGCAGCGGCTCAGGCTCGAGCGCTAGTCAGCGATACCGCGCAGTTGCTCCTTCGACATCATACAGAGGCAATACCAACAGCAGAGTATGGCCATCGGCAAAGCGACAAAAACGACCAGCTCAGCCCAAAGTCAGCGCACGCATCCTGCACATCCTCGAAGACGACATCGAGGAAACGCGCGTTCAGAACCTCTTTGCGCCCGATCCACGTACGCAGCGCCAGAACATCTCGTATAGACCCCTCAAATTGACGCAGCTGGCCCGCAGAGACGGCGACGACTTTCGTCTTCCCTCGCTGAGCAGCATGTGCTCTTCTGTCATCGCTTCGTGCTTTGACGCTCTCTTGCCGTCCAGGGATCAGTTTGATGCAGCAGCCGGTCCGAGTGCACCTCACAGCAACAGCAAGCCAATACGAAACTCGCATACTCTCAAGAAGAGCTCCAATACACGCAAAAGATCTAGAGCAAGGGCGTTTGGAGCTGCGCCCGACTCGGACGACGACCAGAAAGACTACATCCCCAGTGACGATGAGGGTGCGGCGACCATATCAATAGCCAGATCGACACGCAGGCGTAAAGATGGAGCTCAAACAGCTACGGGAGCCAGTTCGAGCCAGCTACTGGCCGGATGGACCACATCTGAGCTTCACTACCTCACTCGCAAGACATCCGAACAGCTCAAGCTTCTCTCCCCTGCCGCCTCTTTCCTTCTCTTTCGAGCTCTCGTAGAGCAGTCACCACAATACCTCACCAAGACGGTTGTCAGCAACTACTTTCTTCCTCCTATACTAGGCGAATCGTCGACAATGTCACATTCGGTCAGTCCAGCTGCTAGAACGCATGTCTGGCTACCAGCCTCGATCCCTCTACTTTCGCACGACAAATCCGCAGCGTCCTTCCTCGTGGCGCACCTCTCCAACGCGCTCGCATCGGCGCGAGATCACAGACCGTCCATCCTGAGCGAGGCTACCGCAGAGGACATCCCTCTAGCAGCCCTGCCTTCGCGGCTGGTCCTTGCTCAACCAGCCACCTTCGCCCTACGCTCGCTGCAACTGCACGGCCTCACCCGCTTGCAAGATGGCACCCTCGCACGCTTCTTCGAAGCAGCCATCCCCTCCGCCTCAAACGAAGCGATCCTCAGGCTCGACACTATCTCGCTCAAAGGCTGCATTTCGATCGGCGACCGCACCGTCACCGCCATCTGCCGCTCGACCGGCTCCTCCCTTCGCTATATCAACCTCGATTTCACGGACATCACCGCCGACTCGGTCTTCAGCATCATGTCCTCTATTCCGGACCTACACACGCTCAAGCTGGGGTTCAACGACAATCTCTCCGACAAGGCCCTCCAGCTCGCCCTAGCAGCGCCCGCCACCGGTGTCCAACTTCCCTTCTCCAAACTCACCAACCTGCGTCTCCGCCACTGCCCGCAGGTGGGCGACCAGGGGGTAGCGAGCTTCCTCAAGCACTGTTTCCGGTCGATCGAGGTGCTCGATATCTCGCACACGGGCGTGGGGGGCAACAACGCGCATCAACCGGATCTGTCGATTCTACTCATGAGCTTGTTCCCCATGGGTGTGCCGGACGAACCCACCGGCCCGCTGAAGAAGCTCAATCTGCTCGGGACCAACATCGACTACTTCACCTTACGCACGATTGTCGATCGCAACCCGGGGATTCACACCCTGCTGCTGCGCCAGATGCCCAGCCCAAACAGCCGCGATGGACTGGTGATGTTTCTCGAAAAGCTGGCCATCGAACGACAATCCTGGCGCCACCGCGGGTGGAAGCGGCTGCATCTCAAGATCTCCGATGTGGGAGGCGATGCGTTTGGCGAGCTCTTCCCGGACCTTCTGGCGATTTTCCCCCGGCTGACGGTGGAAGGGTTGAAAACGTCTATGAGCCAGACGGCGTTTTTCCACGCGGTGCCGGAAAAGGTGCAGGGGGACCAGTGCATCGTGCGCGAACTCAAACTGCCGGATGCCAAACTGTCCGATCATGCTTGGTCGTTTTTGCCAAAGATCAGAACGCTGAGAAGCCTCGATGTCAGCAACACTGCTGTACCGGAGCAGGTGGTGAAGGAGACAATAGAGAATAACGAGTTCTTGGAGACGATCGATTTGAGTCACTGCAAGCAGATGCGTATTGGCACGAGGAGGAACGCTTTTGATCTTGTTAAGGAGTAGAGTCGTATGGATGATGCACACATATGATACCCGTAATGGAGTCTTTGCTTTCAGCTTCGGATACACGCACCCTCTGGTGAAAAGAGAGTGAGATTGCATCGGAGGAGCGGTGCATGAGAAGCGCGGGATTGGGAGCGGGAAAGGGGGGACAGCCCCGGGGAACAGGCAGATTAAGCGTCGTTGCGCGCTGCAGAGGCGTCGACGGACATCTGAAGCCCTGGGGAGAGGAGCACCCCTTGGATCAGACGCACCGAGCGCGCTCCCCGAGTTGTTGAGACGAGTACGGAGAACAGGAGCATCGCAAAATCGACACACATCACCACCAATCACAGCATCTTTACTCCTTATCCCCCTCACCGCGTTTCGCAACAGCACGCACCTCCCCATCACCAACGACCTTCTTGGCCTTGCCCACCATCTGCTCCTGCATCACCTCCCGCTTGCTCTCCATGAGCATCTGGGCGACTTTCGCGCGCTCCAACACCTCCCGTGCCATCCTTCGATCGCGCGCTAGCATCGCAAATCGACGCTGCAGCCGATTCATCTGCACCTCGTCGTGCACGCCGGCGGAGACAGCCACCTCGCGCAGCGCGGAGCGGTCCAGCGCCAGATGCCTGCACAGCCGCATGAAGTCGTCCACCTCGCGCCGGGTCGGCTGGTACTCGATCGAGGGGTGGTACGTCGTAGTCGATTCGATGGCGGAGCGCTTGGCGTGCGGGGGAGGGGACGAGGGCGAATCGTCGCTTGGCACCCCCGCTCCGTCATCAGAATCGTCCTCCGATCGCTTCTGCAGCTCCTCAGTGACGATGTCGGCGAGAGCGCGCTTGACCGGCGACGTGTGTGACGGATGGACGGAAAGTGTGCTCCGCTCGTAGCCGTCATCGTCGACGTGACAGTGAGCGTGCTCTCCGGGATGACCAGGGTGCGGGCCTGTGAGTGATCGCTTGAGCGTGCCAGCGTCGGCAGCACAGATCTTCTCTCCGCTCGGATCGGTGTAGCACCATTTTGCGTGATGGACATCGCGTTTCTCGAGATGCTCAGCAGCGTCAGCAGGACCATGCCCGGCAAAACACCCCTTGGCACAATCCGACCCAACACCCGGGACGAAATGGCAGCAGTCGGGGTCGGGCGATGCGCCCTCATCCCGCTTGACAACGACCGGAGGATGCGTCGGCTTATCGTACGTGCAAACCTGGCCATAGGTCGGATCCCAGAAGCAGAAGCGATGATCGCCCGACGCTGCAGAGCGCTTGTCATGAACACGCCCCTCAGCTCGACAGGCCAACCCAACGTTGTCGTCCCAAAGACAGCTGGGTCCGCGTCCGCTCTTCTTCCGCTTGACGATACGAGGCGATGCGTCGATGCGATTCGGACAAAAGACTCGACCGGCCGGGTCCTGCCAGCAGCCCGGGAGCTGTCCCTGTCTGCTCGGCTGACGCTGCTCATCCTCGATCTGTTGACGGTCGTCGTCGCAATGAAGAACACCATTCTCGTCCTCCCGGCAGCCGTGCTTGCGGTCGAAGCGCTTGATAAGCTTGCCTGCCTCTTCGGCCTCAGGCGGATGGTGAGGATCGGAATGCTTGGTCAGCTCGCGCTGGCTGGCAGCCTTGCCATTACAATGGTTGTCATCGCCCGGGCCTCTCCAGCAGCCGCGCGGGGGCGGGTCGCGCTTGACCAAGTTACCTTCTTCATCGGCCTCGGATGGATGGTGAGGATCGTGGTGGCTGGGAGGGAGGGAGCGTTTCAGCAAGTGGACCCCGTGAGCTGGCGGTCGATCATCTGGCCCGCAGTATACTTTCGCCGTCTTCGGATCACCGCGGCAATAGTGGTTGGGGAGGAACCGTTTGACCAACTCGTGCGCTCCGAGAGCCGATGGTGCACAGTGTGCGTTGCCCCCGATCACCGCACCACAGGGGATCCGCGGCCATGCACGCGATCTTGACCCGCGACCTCGCTGAAACTTTTCGGGCTCGAGGTCGACCATGTTGGTCGTGTACGGTGACGCCCCGCGTTGGACGAAGTCAAACGACCCATCCGGCTGCACCTTTAGCAGACTGAGGAGTCGCTCATGATCCTTCTCCTCCAACTCATGACAGTCGTTTCTGTCCTCGGGCTGGTCAAAGATATCGCAGAATCCCGACTCGGTGCAGTGCTCGTTCGAAGCGGAAGGCTCGCACTTGCCGGTGGAGGCCACCTTGAGCATGATCTGACGCGTTTGGGCGCGCAGCTCGCGTTGCTCCTCGGGCGTGTAGGCAATGCAACCTCGGTTGTGGAGCAGACAGGAGTGGTCTTGGCAGATGGACGATTGAGGACCGTCGCAGTGACCGTTTTTGGCGAACAAGTCGTTCATTTGACGATCGGCGGAGGCGTAGACGTGAGATTGAAGCTGCGTCCGGGTGAGTGCTTCGGCCGTGTGGGCGTGCTCGGAGGCGGTAAGGTCACGACGATGATGAGGGCGACGGACAGAGTGAACCCACTCATCACCGTCGTCGCCATCGTCGCCTCCATCTTCGTCAAATTTGAAATGCCCTCGACGCTCGTGGTCGCCTCCAGGACCGTCGTACTCGTAGGAAGAGCTGGGGTCACTGCGTCGGACGAGTGAGGGGTCGTAATTGGGCAAGTCGACTTCGACGGATTCGGACGGATCGTCATGCGGCTCATGCGAGTCAGGTTTCTGCTCCTGGACGAAGTCGCGGCTGCGCATCTCGTCCTTGTCGCCATGTAGACCGCAGCAGTGGTTGCCACTGTTGTTGTGGCCACTGCCCGCTCGATGCATAGCGTTTTCTTCGGAACGTTTGTTGATCGTAAGATTGCGTCCGCGTTCGTGATCGCGACGACGAACACTTTGCTGCACGTCCGAGTCGAAGTCGAAGTAGCGCTCCGAATCGCCGCCAGGACCGTCGTACTCCCTTGCAGAGCCGACGTCCAAACCACGGCGAGCGACTGATGGACGAGCATCGCCGTTTGGGGGCTCGACGGACACGCCAGGGCTGGAGCGGCCGCCTGTGATGAAGAAGAACGATTGCGTCTACATCAGTACAGTGTTCATTCTTAAGCAATGTCGTGTTCGTAAGGAGGAGGCTTACCTATGGCGACAGCAGCTGCGGAAGAAGCGGCAGCTAGCCCGAGGGCGAGGAGAATGAAGCACTTTCTGAGCTTCGCCATCTTGGAGACGGGTGCGCAAGGCAATGGGAAGAGGAGGAGATGGGAGAGGGAGAGGAGCGACGGGGCCAGGCTCTATATACCTTGCGGACACGCTGCTGCTTTCGATGTTGCAACAAGGCAGCGGGTCTGGGCCTGATGAGGTCCCGCCGCCAACTCGGGATCGAGCGATATGGTGGCGAGGGCTGTCAGGTGGCTGTCGAGTGCGATGCATCAAGGCGTGGGAGCTGGCCATTGGGTGGAGCAACCGGGAGGCGACCCGGACTCAGTGGCTCGCTTGTTTCTTGCAGCTGTGATACGGAGGTGGGGCGATGAAAGTATCATGTGACAGCGAAATGAGACGGCAGGAAGCGCTGGTGAGGCTAGTCACAGTTGAAGCCTAGAGTAAGCCGTACCTCGCAGCCAGCACCTCGATGGTACTTCATATCGCTCACCGAGGGCTCGAAAGGGCTGCTTACCCAAGCCACTGGTTCCCATGGCTTTCATGCTGCCAGACGAGGGTTGTGTTGGGAGCGGGTCTCTCACGCCGAGCATCTCAGCGCTGCCGAGAGTTGTAGTCGCGGCCGACTCCCGCCGTCACAAACCTCAATGATGACCAGCCTTGAGCCTTCGAGACCGATCCTGGGAAGAATCGCGTCGCACACTGTTGGGCTTGGTGACAAAAAGCAGCCTTGCGGTGCAACACAACTGGAATTGCGAAATGAAGGAGACTTACGCAGCAAGCACTGCCCGCGCTGCATCCCTTAGATGCTTCGAGGAGACGGCTTGTGGGGTATACACCTTGTTGAGCAAAAGGCTGGTCACAAGCTCGTCGATCTTCTTGACCTTGGCCTGGTCCACCACTTCCTCTGACCCGCTCGACTTGCTTGATGATGGCGAGGCGATGAGTGCAGTCGTTGCCATCTTGGTGCCCCACAGCGCTCGCAACCAAGGTCCTTGTGCGCCGCCTTGCGTTTTGCTCTCCCCATCGCTCTGACACATCTCCAGCACCCTCAGATACGCCTTGTACGCCTTGGCGATTTCGCCGTTAGTATAGAGCGTCTCCGCGTACTTCAAGTGGAAGAAGCTGTTCTGTGGTACTTGCAGTAGCACTTCTTCCAGCGCAAATGTAGATTGAGCGTACATGCCCTGATTAGCGTATACTTCGGCGAGCTCCTGCCATGCTTCCGGATCGTTGTAGAAGGTATCGAGGTGAAGGTTGAGCGCTTCGACGGTGCCCTTGATGTCCCCTAGTGACTTGATGGCCGCTACTCTACGACGAGAGAGAATGAGTGATGTTTCGCCGTTGTTGAGGACATCCTCGTACAACTCGATGGCTGCCTTGGCATCACCTTTGCCTTCGAGGAGCATTCCTTGGAGTGCGGTGACGCGCTGCGAGTTGGGAAAGCGCGAGGTGAGACGTGAGATGCATAGTTCGGCGAGATCGAATCGAGCCAGCTCGATAGCGGCAATGGCAACTTGCTCGAGGATGGACCAGAGGTCTTCGTTGGAGACCGACGAGAGACCGCGTTTGGTGATGACCAGCTCACCATATTGGACGGTCTTGTGCGGTGCTCGAATGGGGCGTCGTCGCTGTTCTGCGAGCCATTGTGCTGCAGCTTTTGGATCTGTTTCAGGATTGTCTGATACTGTGAAGCTTGTTGTCGCCATCCTGTCCGGTGTTTGAGCCGTCAATGGATGAGGTGTGAGTGTTGTTTCGGAGGAAGGTGATCTGAGCGCCTTGAGGAAGAAACTCGACACGCTGTGCTCTGCGATTTTGCAATTTTGTTAGAGCGGCCTAGTCCCGATTTGGGAGCGATTCGACTCGGAACCGACAGACAAAGCTGCAATTCGCACCCAATTCAAGCTGCATCTCGAACCCTTCTCCATCATCAACTCGACCGCTCACGATCATCTTGAGCAACCTCACTCACACTTCGGCTTGATAGCATCTGACTACGATGGTGCGTATTGATCGGTAGTGCACCTCTGCGTGATTATCTACAGATCACTGACCCTTGTATCACGTCGACAACCCATTCTTCAACACTTGCAACTCACAGGGAGCCGGACCTCGATACCCTTACCCCAAGGAGGTGTGGTCGCCAGCAGGAGGCTGGTGGACTCGGTAAGTGCAGACGCGGTCAGCGGCGGGGGGAGCTCCATCGGATCATCATGCTGACAACAAGTTCCTTCCCTCGACTTCTCCGTCACACTGACTCGACTCTCGCCATGGACAGTCCCAACAACTGGGTCTCGAATACCGCTGTTTGCGCTGTCGGCATCGCACTCGCTACATACGGCGTCTGGACATACAGCGCTGACCGAGAGGTAGGCACCAAGGCATGTGGCCATTCTGAGAGTCATCTCGATACTGATGCATACTTCTGCTTGCATTACACAGTGGAGGCACAACGCGCCCACCAAGCCCATCCCTTCGATGAACGTAAGTGATCCTCAATCATCTTGGGATCACAGGTATGCACGAGATAGCTGACGTTTCATTGTTTCCGTATCGATCTACAGTGGGCAAGACAGTTCAAGGAAGGCGAGCTTTCGGTCAAGGAGCCTTGAACATTTCAGTCGACGCAACAGATTCTCGGCCAAAGCAATACAGACATACGACTCATCGAGACTCGGGCAGGGAGATAGAGACTGTGATTGTGATGACGATCGGTGGAAACAGCCATGATCTGACAGACTGCGTCCGGACGGTGCTTCACGCAGATGGCGCATTGAGCCACGACGCGACTCTCGCGGGGATCAAGTTGCGAAGGACTGTGACAATGCAAGGGTATTGCGGAAGCAGTGCTCTGTACAGATGCAGATCCCATTACGGCTCAAGCGGTGCTGTCGTCCGCTCACTTTGTCCCAGCGATCTCCTTGATCGTCTCGATGAACGCCTGGGGCTGGTGAGCGAATCGACCCAAGAACAGCCCGTCGACACCTTCCCTGATCTTTGCAAACAATCCAGGTCCAGCGCTGCCACCGTACAAGATACGCATGGAAGCATCCGTCCTGCCCTTTGCGCTTTCCACGTAGTCCTTGTTATATCTCCTCCTGAGCGCCTTTGTGATCTTGACGACGTACTCTGGTGACGCTGGCTCCGACTTGCCGATAGCCCAAACCGGTTCGTAGGCCAACACTACCTCAGCCTGGTTATCCATGGCCTCCAGCGCGGGTCGGATCTGTCTCCAGCACTCTTCGACGACCATCTCGACGTCGCTGATAGAGAGATCGTTGATGTTCTTGGGCTTGGACACTTCGCCGATGCAGATGAGCGGGACCATGCCGTTTTTGGCGATGGCAGCGGCCTTGTTGGCTACGTCTTCGTCGGTCTCGCCAAAGTATCGCCTTCTTTCCGCGTGGCCGATCTCGACGAATTTGACGCCCGCCTGAGCGAGCACTTTAGGGGAGACCTCGCCAGTAAAGGCACCAGAGTCTTGTGAGTGTACATCCTGGGCGCCCAGCAGGAACGTCGAGTTGGCAGACGAGATCTGAGAGGCGACCGAGGTCAACGTGACAAAATCGGGGATGACAAAGACGTCGGCGGGCTGAGCAAGCGAAGAGAGGTTGGACGAGAGGAGCGAGATGGACTCGTCAAGGTAGGACTTGGTCTTGGGAATGTCGAAGTACATCTTGAACGAGACGCCGACGAGGGGTCGTCGACCCGAGGAGGTGGCGCTGGTCGACATGATTGCGGTGCTGTAGCAGGGGATATTGATACTTGTTGCAAGAAGAAAGGTAGAGACGCAGCAAGGGGTGATATCGAGTGATATGATCTGATGGTGGACGATGATACAGAAGAATCGGTGTCAGAGTGCGAGGTTAAATCGCGGGGACTTTGGCGTAAATTGCAGGCTCAGTGCAGCAGGCCTTGTCACTTTCACACAGAGCAGCCTTCGATTGCAGGTCACACCAGAAGCGCCACACGCTGCCCACCTTCAAAGGCGCACTGCTTCTCAACACTTTCTCATCCCGTCAGCATCGCTTTATCGTGCTTTCTCATCCATTGCTGCTCTTGATGCCTTCTCATGCTGCAACATGGGGTGTGTAGCAGACTGACTTGAGAGAAGCATCACCTCGAATCACGGCCACGGAAATCGCCGAGGAAGGCCTCACAGCAAACAACGAGAGCCTGGCCCAACCGCCCGGTCGGGTCGAGCTAAAACTCTGAAATGCTTCCAAGTCGCCGTGTGGAGTATGAATACAAATTGGTGTTTGAGAACGAATAGTTGCTCGATCGAAATTGTATCCCTGAATCCAATCGTTCGCCACTCAGTGTAGATTTTGTGTAAATGTGAAGATTGTGCAGCTAACACGACTCAGTGAAAAAGCCGACCAGCTCCACACACTTTTTTGCTCGCTTCTGCAGCTCTGGATTTTTGTCGGCGCGTCGGTGAGAGTTCTTCTTGAGCCAAAAAAAAGTTCTTCTCAAACAAAGCTCGTTCGGTCCTCCTTCTCAGGGTTCTCAACCATTCGGCTGCTGTCCGACACCACTCAGCCTCTCTTCTTGACCATCACATACTTAGCGTTGATCGATCGGACGCTATCCGCCTCCAACCATGCCCAAGTCCGGCTTCGATCCGCAGCGCCATCAGCGCAAGCTGCACCGCCACAATCCCCTCTCCAAGTCTGCGTCAGCTTCAGCAGCGAGCAGTGCACAAGCATCGCCTTCATCCGTCTCTTCCGCTACCCTTGATGCGCTTCAGCAAGCCTCAAAGACCGCAAACGGATCCAGTCCGAACAAGGGAGGCGCTGCCAACGAGATCATTCCACTGCTGGCCAACCTGCCTGCTCCCGACAATGCTGCCAGCACCTCAGCATCCATCAATCTAGCTGACAAGGTCTGGTCGCTCGCCTCCGTGTCGCTGCTTCTCACTGTCGGCCCAACCCAGTCAGCTTCCGAAGTCAAACAGCACCGCAAGCTTCTGCTCTCACACAACCTCGTCGGAAGGCTCATCCAGGCTCTACAATCACATACCGAGGTCGATGTCAGGCGCGAAGCCAGCGGTGCCCTCCGCAACCTGTGCGTCGATGCTGGTCTCGACGTTCGCAATGAAGTCGTCAACAAGGGCGGTGTTCCTGCCATGCTTTCAGCTATGAGGTGGGCTAGCAATGCTCTCGGCTTTGATGCAAGCTCGTCTGCCAGCGCCAGCGCCAATCCTTCGGTTTCTTTCGTCGACGACGCACCCACTCAGGAGCAGGATCTCGAGTCTAAACGTGCGCTCCTCGCCAAGCCACTCGTCCAGATGAACAAGAAGGAGAAGAGGCATGCTACCAAGCTTGCAGCCGCACTCGGCAAGACGCTCGAGCAGGTTGCCGGTCACGGTCTCACAGCCGACGACGAAAAGAAGCTGGCCACCTCAAGCAAGAACGACTCAGGCGACGCTATGGACACCTCTGCGACTGCATCGGTGACATCTCGTCGAGGGGAGCCATTCCTGTCTCTCGACTCCAACACGCGCAAGGGTCTTCTCGAAATGGCAGAGAACCTCGTCACCGTGGTCTGGTGTCTCTGCGAATCCGGCGATAAGGCTTTCGCCAAGCTTGTATCGTGGAGGTGGCTCGATCAGGACGTCGTCGGTGCAGGTACCTCCGGCGATGAGCTCAGCGGACAAGCTCTCGCTTCCTGGCTCTCTTCTGCTATCGCTCTCGGCTCAAGAGCTGCTTCCGTTCTGTCCACTGCGGGCGCAGATGGCTCTCGTGCATCCTCTTCCAGTGCGCAAGCCGCGTCAGCAGAGGCCCTTGGCGTGCTTTCTAACGAAGAGTTGTCTCTCTTGCTCGACCTCGCCCTTGCTTCTGGCAACGCCCTCTGCGCCTTGACGGATGGAGGCGAAGCCGACTTTGTTGACGGTCTGCTTTCTCGCAAGTCTGCTGTCCCACCTCCGAAGTCGTCTAAGAAGAAGGGCGGCAGGGCTGAGCCTCCCTCTTCGGCACAGGCACCCATCCCGACTTCGCTGGATGAACAGCCAGCTGCGGCTACTCGCTGCCTCTCCGCCATCCAGTCCGCGCTCAGCCTCCTCGAGGCCTGCGTCCAGACCGACCAGACCGGCATCGACAAGCTCAAGCGCTACGTCCTCTCGCAGGCAACCATGCTCGGCGTCCTCTCCGCAGGCATCTTCCGCAACATTGCTGCCGCCGTCGACTCCAAAGCTGCTGCATCTTCGCGCTCCAAGTCTCGCAAGCACAGCGGCTCGGCTGTCACGCTCACTTCTAGGCACATTTTCATCCCCACATCATCGACCGCAAGCACAACCAACGGTAATGGTGCTGGTGCAGAGGGCGTGACGCTCAAGAAGTACGAAGAGAGCGCCATCCTACCCGCCCTGACACGTCTGCTGGCCGGCGTGGACATGACTCAGCTCGCACACGACCTCGACGGCCGCGGCGATGTCAGCCAGGCGGTTTCACTCGACTCCAGCTCCAAGGACGGACAAGACGAAGCGACCCTCCGAGCAAAGATGCAGGGCAAAGCCGAGGACAAGGCGCAAACGCTCATGCTTGCGCTCGAGGTCCTCGCCGAGATGGCCGGCAGTCTCGACTCGAAAGCCGAGGGCGACGCGGAGGAGGAAGACGAAGACGAGTGGCTGGAGGACCTCGATGCGGACGAAGAGGGTCACGACCAGGATATGGACATGGAGATGGGCGGTGACGAAGACGACGACGATGGAGAAGACGACGAAGCAAAAGACGACGACGACATGGGCCTTCGACAGGCTCAAAACGGCGCCGATACGTTTGCCGACGCTGTCAAGCGCAGCGGCACCTTGCCTTTCGAAGGCTACGCTCCGAACCTTTGCGCAGTTTTGACTGCTTCTAATCCTTCGCTTGCCGGTGCACTCTTGACACTGGCACGCCCGTTCGAGGCGTCCTTCCCGTCGCTCACCTCGGCGAAGCCTGACGACAAGCATGCATCTGGCTTGCTGCGAGGGTTGCACCTTCGCTCGCTCTCGGTGCTCAATAACGTGTTCCTTTGCCTCGCTGCCTTCTCGCCGCCTCCGCCGTCGCAGCCCGCTACCGACCCCAAGGTGCAGCGTCGAATTGCGGCGTTCCGCACATGGTCGCAGAACACTCCTCAGAACGGCAGTCTGAATGAGGTGTGGAAGACGCTGTTCGAGATCGCAAAAGGCTGTGCCAGCGTGCCTGCGGTGGCGAATGCCGGCGCTGGTCTCGTGACGCCTTCCGACGGCGATGCGGACGGTGTAGTTGGTTCGGCTGGCACAAGTGCCGGTGCGGGCGCAGGTCAAGGCGAAGGCGAAGACGGTCTGGTGATGGTCGAAACGTGCATTGGCACCATGTGGTCTCTCGCGCGCATCCTCGAAGGCTCGGTCGAGCTCTCGCCCACCACGAGCCCCAGCATCCCCGTCAGCGTCGCCAACGCCGTCTCTTCAGAGATCATCATGGCCCTCACCACGGGCTACACGTCGGCTAGCACCGACGGCATGCGCGTCAAATGCCTCCTCCTCCTCTCTACCATCGCCCGCTCGCCCCTCATCCATCCCACTCTCAACGCGCATATCGGCAGCTTTTTGGTCAGCATCCTGGAGCACATCCCCGACCACCCTTCGTCAACCACCTCGGGCACCACGCCGGAAAGCATGCTCGCCGCGATCAACGGCATCATCGACACGTACGCCGACGAGACGTCGCACTACGACGCGGCTGGCTTCCGACAGCCCAATCTGCTGGCTAGGTTGAGGGCGACCGCGTTCAAGTGCAAGGCGCTCGCCAAGCAGATCGACAGGCGGAAGCAGATTAGCCTCAGAGCGAGCGCAGAGGAGGCGTTGGAGAACCTGCAGGGTTTCGTGCAGTATAGGCAGGGCTTGCGATTCTGAGTTGTGGCCCAGCTGGCCAGCAATTTGTTCCGTTGTTGATGGGAATGGCAAGTCGATCATCTCCGTATTGACGTGTGTGTCGACTGTGACTGTGACGATGACCCGATGTCAGCTAGTCGTTGTGTACACTCACTGAGTGATCAAGTGGCATTATGTATGTGGTAAGATTTTGCTCCTTCATCGTGGCATTGATAGTGTAGGGGTATCATGAGTCGTTGCCAAACTCATCGTCTTGACCGAGACGTGACTACCGATTCGACTCGACCGGGGTTCGAGTCCCCGTCAATGCATTTCTTTTTGCCCTTTTGGATCGCTCACCTTGCTCTCCGGTCACTTTTTGGAGCTCGTCTCGTTATGGGCCTGGACTGGGATGAAGGGGTGACTGGCACCAGGACCGAAGCAAATGCTGTGCATTGTAGACGGATGGAGGACGAGGAGCATCGACATGACTCCGGGGCGTACAACTTTGCTCGAAGAACTGCGCGCATTCTGGGTGCTCAAAAAGGGTTCAGCTTTGGAAAGCATCGAGCGAGCAACACACGTTTTGAACGACTGTGTCTGTTGCCAACGCATGATCCGTCACCCAGGACAGCTGACACACGAGGAGGGGGCTCACATTGGGTATGTTCGTCGTAGTGTGACTAGTTGCTCTGCGCAAGGGAAGGCCTTCGCCCATCGCTGCACGTCATTTGCGAGCTTTCCTTGAAGCTGGCCTTCCAGCTAGATCAATGCATTTCGAACGAGAAGCCCTGTTCAAGGAGCAATCGAGTCGCGAAGTCAGCATCATGCATCGAGCCTATTCTCTGACTCGCGCAACCATGGCCGCCGGGGGCGTTAGGACTTACATCTGCGATCTCGTAGTCCGCCAGTGTAATGTGATCCTTGTAGACGGTGTACCACTTCTTGAGGATGATCTGTGACGAGTTGGAAGGACGTATTGCACAAGGTAGCAATCGCGGTCAGTCGCTGCGCTAGCCATCGCTGCGTATGGTTGAGATGGTCGTGGATGTGTGGGCTCACCTTCTGGGGTGGTGTCCCCGTCTGCGCAGCAATGAGCTTTTTCAGGTCGCCGATCGTGTCTTCTGGCGAGCACTTGACTCGGACTGTTGGAAGCAGGGAAGCAGAAGAAGCAGATAGACAGCAAGGAAGAGCAGGGACGTCAGCGCTACAGAGCGAACAAGAGGATTATAAGACGGAAACGCACCTTTTCTCCCCAGCCGGTCGTTGGCGAGGACCTCGATCATCGGCATCTTGCTGTTCGGTGAGTCTGCTGGCACCAAGCTTGTGCAGCCGAGTTCAGTCGTCGAATTGATCTTCTTCGTGAGGTTGTGAAGTGGCGATTGAGTCTCTCGCGACCTGCTCGAAGCCAGCCTGAAGCTATTGCGACCGTTGTAGACGATGGTGGTTCACGTCAAAGAAGGGACACCATGAAGCGTTCAAGGTGTTGTTCTCCAAAGCGCTAAAAATTGCTCCACTTTGCCGTCTTCCGAGGCGGTGAGGAGGCGGCAAGGACGGCCTAGCGAAAAAGCAAAAAAAGTGGAAGGTGGGAATCGAACCCACGACCTCAAGATCTTTCTTAGCTTCGTTCCAGAACAGATACGTTGCAATCTCACGCCAAACCACTAAGCCTCTCCCACGTTTTGCCCAAGATTGACTGACACAAGTATTTATGAACGTTCCAATCCATCAACGCAAGATCCCGTCTAGCCAAGAAATCACGCGGGCCAAAGGGTGTTCGTCAACGACGCGCGCGTGTATCTCAGCTGTCTGCTTTGATAGATGTGGAGCGATAAGAGAGAGCTCATTCACTTTTTTTTGGTGGTCGACGTACCCATCGCCCTGGGTCCTCGCTCAAGCTTCATCTTCACCACCACCGTCCACCGCTGCACGGCATCGTATTCACTCAAAGATGGTAAGCTGCAAGCTGGACGAGCTGATGCGCATCTAGGTCGAAACGCTGACACTCTTGCTCATATTTGATCGCACAGACCGACTCCCACCCAGCCACGGCAACGGCCACCGCCCATCCTCACATCTCGATCGCAACACCCACACCACGACCGCTTTCTTCGTCACCGCTCTCGCCGCATCGAGGCTCGCCTGCCCCGCCGTGCTCGTCATCCACCTCGGCACCACCCGCTGAGATCGAAGCAACGCTCACGCGGCTTTCGACGCATCAAGGCGTGCTAGGCTGTCTCGTGCTCAGCCGCCACGATGGCTTGGTGATTCGAAGCGGAGGTCAGATGTTCGATCCCAGCGGCCCCGGTGCCAAGGGGAGGGCAGAGATGCTCAAGAGTGTTACGAGCTTGGTCAAGAGCAGCGTGGAGAGCCTGGCGGCCGATATTCGGGGGATTGACGAGACGGTGAGTTGCGCTTGCTGGGAACGGAAGGCGGCTTTGAATGGCATGCTGACCCTTGACGAGGATTTCGCTGATATACACAGGACGAGCTTGGCTTCCTGCGCATCAGGACCAAAAAGTACGAGATCATGATCACGCCCAACGACAAGTACCTCTTGGTCGTGCTGCAGGTAAGTCTCGCCTCCGTTACGACATCTCGGCTTGCCTTGGGCTCAACGCTGACCCCCACTCTGCTTCGTCTACCTCATACCGTGCGCTACGATAGGATCCCAACGCAGCCGTACAGTGAACCGTCGCTATGCTTGGCCTGCTCTGACTCGATACCATATACCCACATCCGTTCTGTGTTTCAGCCTCCTCGCCTTCTGCTGCAATCATCTTATGCATTCACGCTCTCACAAGATGCACAGGCTGGCCATACTGTCAAAGCGCTTGATCATGTCTCGCTTGCATTGTCGTCTGCTGCCTGTTCTGGCTCCCGTTGCAGCTTCTGTATCAGCTGCTCTGCTGTCACGCGGTGTCGAAAAAGCTCTGTTCAGGTCGCGGCAGATCCAGAAGCATTCGCGTCAGCCACAGCCTTAGAATGCTCGACCGAAACAGCAGCAGCACTCACCTCTCTCGCCGAGATGTAGCACGGGGATATCGTACTGATACTTGCGTCTCCACGTGTGAACATCCGGCAATGAGTCGTCTCTGATGTTGTACGTCGCCAGTTCGATCGGTATTGTCTTGGAAGCTTTGTTGATCTCGTGCTGCATCACTTGGCATAGTTGGCAGTCTGCCCCCGTGTACAAGGTCAGCCGAAACGGTCTTTGTCGTGTGAGCAATCGTACTGTTGGCAGCATCGTGACTACTTCTCAAGAATGAAGTGTACCGGATGTGGATATGCAGATGAGCCTCGCAGGTGAATCGAGCAAAGAGTTATGTCTCAGCGTCGAGTCCAGATTCGGAAATCGGGCTTTGCTTTGCCGTGGAAAGTGACACGGTCGTACAAAGGCAATCATTGGACCCTTGTTTGGCCTTCGCTACCATCTTGTCCCACCTCGCTACAGTCGCCCCAGTCAAGCTCCCTTCACCATGTCGGACCCGGAATCGTCCCCTCCCCCACCTCAGGATGCGCAACGCAAGCGCAAGAGGTCTCTCGCCGCGGATGACGACAGGCAAACAAGACCTCATCCGAGCAGCAGCGACTTCGAGATCCCCGCTTCCCAAGATGCCCGCGGTGTGTTTGTCGATATCCCCATGCCCTCCTCTTCTGCTATGGCTGCCTTCCACGCGGCTCAACATCCCCTCTCGAGCCAACTGGACTCACAATCCTCGATCGACATAGACGATATCCCCATCCAGTCGCAAAGCCTCCAGCAGCAGACATCGAGCGCATCGGAATACATCCCTTCAACCCAAGCAGAGGATCACTCTGGCTCATCCGCGTCATTAGCAGCGCCCTCAAGCGATCCAGCAGTAGCATCAGTGAGCGCGATGAGGCCACTTCCCTCGATATCGACGCGCGTGTTCGAGCCGTATCTGGATGACACGACGGGCATGGATCTCGAACTGGCCGAGACACGGATTTCGCGAAAAGAACGACACGGCGGCCAGGCAGAGATCGACAACTCCTCCCCAGTCGAGTCCTTCTCCCCCGCAGAACAAGTGCAGCTGATGGTGAAGCCGCAGGATGTTCCTCGTCTAGGAGCTTGGGTCTTGCCTCCCCTCACTGCCGAGAACAGCAACCTGCATGTTCACACTTATTCTGGTCAAGAAGTGCTCAGTCAGATCCCAATTGCGATCGACGACGATGATATCATCGGTCCAAACGATCTCATTCCAGAACTCGCCGCGTCGCAATCGTCACAGCCGCTACCCTCGCGGCGTGCCGGGCGTAGACCGCCGCAGGAGCAGAGTGTTTCGCCAATCACTGCCTCGGCCGCTCCGCCGCCAATCCAGTCCACTCCCGCGTTTGCTGCTGCTGTCCCTCCGCAGGACGACGATCAGCCGGATCTGCTGCTGCTGCCGAGCCAGTCCATCCCTTCTCAGCAGCAGCCGGAAATCGTTTCTTCGACGCCCGCCCTCCCACCAGCTACAGCGAGGGAGGATCCCGAACCAGCTGTGACCTCATCCGCCTCGCATTCTTCCACCAGCAGCTCGCTCGGCTGGTCGGCCCTACCCCGACCTGAGGTCGTCGAGCTAATCCAGCGATCTCCAAACGTCCCCGCCTTCCTAAAGAATGAGATCGAACGCTTTGTCCTACGCGCCAACCGCTCCTCTTCGCCCTCGTCCGCGCCCAAGGCATCACAACTGCGCGGATCACCACGACGACGCTTCGCCTCGCAGTCGCAGTCACAATCCCAGTCGCAGTCGCAGTCGCAGAATGACGACTCCGAGACACAGGAGGACGGCTTCTTGCGTACCAAGAAGCTGTGGTGCATGGACCTGCTCATCTTCCCCGCTTCGTCGTCTTCGCAGCAATCCAGATCCGCAGCAAACGCCGCGCTGTCAGGGATCACTTCGCAGGTAGTCGTGCGGTTGACGGAGCAGACGCAGCTATCGCAAGTCTCGTCCGACTCGCCGAGCGCGCGCGGTGGTGTCGCAGTCATCCTGCTGCTCGACACGGTCGAGGGGACATTCGACGTGCACGAGCTCGAAGAGAGCCTCGCGAGCGTCTTGCGCAACGACAGACGCTACAGCGTGCAATACGATGCCAATGGACGCAAGTGGGGTGCTGGCGGAGCGAGTGCCGAAGATCAAGCTTCACCTGCTGATGCGCACAACACGGCTGCATCAGCGACGGCCGGCGACGATCTCGAAGCGGCCCGATCCGAGATCAGCCAGTTCCAGCTGCGTCTCGAATCAGCCTCGCGCGAGATCGAAACCCTCTCTTCGGCCAAGACATCGCTCGAAAAGGAGCTAGCAGAGTCGCAGTCGCAGCACGACTTTGTGCGCTCGCTCTACGACCGCGCCTCCGCCTCTGCGTCCGCCGCCCAAGCCACCGCCTCGGAGGCGCAGGCCAAGGTCGATCTGCTGGAAGGGCGGCTCGAGGACGGGCTCTCTTTGCATCGTGCGACGCTGAACACCGCCGTCGACCGGTGGAAGAAGCGAGTGAAACAGCTCGAAGCAGAACAAACCTTCTTCCGAACGCAGCAGGCGTTGACGGACGGTGAAGAGGTGCGACGCAAAGCAGCGATGTGGGATGCGTACCAGGCGGAGAAAGCGGCTCGCGAGCAGGCGAGGATGGAGCGGATCCGGGTGCATGACGAGAAGCAGCGGCTGCGCGCGCAAGCTCAGGCCCAGGCGGCGTCGACGGGCGCAGAGACAGATGGGTTGGGCCCCTTCGCGCGTCCCTCCATTCCGTCAAGCTCAGGAGTGCGGGAAGCAAGCCCAATGGACGAGTTGGACGAGCTGGCTGCGCTGGCGCGCGAAGCTGCCGAGGCTGGGGACGCTCTTGCCCTTGACGCTCCGACCAACGGCGGTCGAGCGAGACGATCTCGTCGCACCGACACGGCCAACCGCCCGCCACCCTCGTCGACCGAAGAGATGGCCGCCCAGGTCGAAGCGGCCAACCTGTCGTCCGCCAACGCACTCTCCGACTCGCGCCTCGAGCTCGAGGATCAGTTCGCTATCTTCCAGCCGTCAGCAGACGACGCCGGTGTCGGTGGTATGGGCGACTTCGACGCAGCGCCAAGCGCGAGCCTGGTAGACCTGACAACGAGCGAAGGGCTCTTTGGCGCGGAAGGCATGCACTATGCATCCACCAACGGCGACGTTGCTGCCTCCGAAGATCAGTTGAATGGCGCGACGGGTCAGGAGGGCTGGAATGAGAGCCTCACCGACGTGCAGCTTCCGCCGAGCTTTACGGAGGACAGTCTGCTGCTCAACGGATCTGACGGCGCGGCGAGAACCCAGGTGACGACGCAGCACAGTCGAGACGGCGGCAGCGATGCCACATCGTCGTTTCAACCGCATACACAGGCATAGATTCGCCCGGCGCCGGACGCATCTATCATTTGCTCTTTCATGTTCTCGCTTACGATCTTGGTAAACAGCTGTGCTTAACGAATCTCTAGCAGAGTCTCTGTCCGAGCAGCCAAGCTTGTCTAGCGAGAATGTGCCGCAACAAACCACGATATCCAAGCTCGAGCCTTGCGCGACTCCTCGAGTCTTGAGTGTGAGTTTTGAGTTTTGAAGTTTGTGAGTTTTGAGATTTGTGAGTTTTGAGGTTTGTGAGCTTTGAGTTTTGAGTTTTGAGTCTTGAGCCTTGAATCTTACAATGTTCTGATGTACAAAAGGTCAGCTTGGTTGCATCCCCAGGCCTGTGTCTCCTTTGTTGTTGGTTTATGGTCATGTCCTGGTTGATTTGCTCCTTCCATCATCATCCTCATCCAACAACTTCACACCATTAATCTCTATTTGGTAAGCCAAAAGCTTGCTCTATGCGCTGTCCTTTGTGTCTGCAGACCATGCCTGCTGACCATGCTTGTCAACATTGTTTGCTCTTTGGGTTGAAAAGGCTTTGTTCCTCTGCCAGTGCACCCACCAAAGCCCTAAGTCCACGCCATCAGACCCCACCAAGATGCCCACTACCACCCCAATGGAGCTCAATCTGCCCATTGCTACTCTGTGTCCTGCCAACAACATCAAGACTCTATGCAACAAATCAATTGAAGCCCTTAAGCTCAAGCCTGCAATCCAAAAGCGCAAGCTCAAGCTTGCCATTGCACTTAGGGTTTCATGTCACCGGTTGAATGGTGTTGGCGCATTGGAAGCCTGGCAAGACGGTCCATTTGAAATTTCAAATCAGAAGTCTGAGTTGGTGGGAAGACGGTCAGCTTCAAAACTAGAGATGCGTTGTATTCATTTTGAATTTCCTGGCAATTTCCATCTGGCAGGCAGANGTGTGCTCCTTCAGCTACGCCATCACCAACATCACCAACCACATCCGCAAGGCACACACAGGAGTTCATGTCACACAGGATGCCGCAGCAGGATGCGGTCTGGTGGCGTGCAGCTGCGGTCAGGTAGTGCTGAATGCAGTGGCGCTCAGGAAGCACCAGGGCATCCGGCACTGCCAGGCAGTACTGCCGCCAACACCACCGGAGACCCAGCTCAACACAGTAGCAGCAGAACCAATATTCCAATTTCAAGCACCACCATCTCCAGAATCTCAAACACAGGCCGCATCACCTCCACAAGACACGCAAACGCAAGACAGCGGCATTGCTGCTCAAGACTGGGATGATGTACTGCCCATCCAGCCAGACAGCCGTCCTGCAAGCCCAGGTTCTCAACATGAGCTGTCACTCAGTCTGGTATCTGACATTGACGGCCCAACGCTTCCTGACTTGCCAGCAGAAGAGCTAACTCCACCATTGGATGCTGAGGGTACCCATCAAGAGGACATCCTGGCAGATGGCATTGTGATTTGGCTGGGCAGAGGTGAGCCAGGTACAGAGCCAGAGCCACCGGTAGAGCCGCCAAGAATGCTCCTTGCCTCTGCTGCTGACACNGGTACACGTCTGCCACCTGTTCCAGCCCGCGCGCCAGTGCAGGACTGGAATGTGGAAAGCGCAACCGATGTTGATTTCTACTCGGTGACCATATCTCCAGCCACACTACTCCATATCTACCCTAGCCCTAGGCCGTGGGGCGGTGGTGGGCGGCAATGGTCAAGTCCGTCGCCAATTCTCCTGCCAAGTGGCGGCTTAGGGGTTTGATGGGCGGAACAGAATGATATTGGCACGTCAACGGCCTGGCAAGATGGTCCATTTGAAATTTGAAGTGAGAAAATTGAACTGGTGGGAAGACGGTCAGGGTTAGGGTTTGATGGGCGGAACAGAATGAGGTTGGCGCGTCAATGGCCTGGCAAGACGGTCCATTTGAAATTTCAATTGGCAACATTCAAATGGCGGGAAGACGGTCAGCTACAAAATTGGAGACGCGTTGTATTCATTTTGAATTTCCTGGCAATTTCCAGTTGGCGGGCAGACGGCATCATCTGGAAGACGGTCTGATACAAGCAGCAAGACGGTCTGATACAAAGGCAAGACGGTCCAGTACAGATCAGCAAGACGGTCAGCTTCAAACTGGAAGACGGTCTGATACAAACAGAAGCTGGCTGTACAGTTGCTCATCACCCGTCCACCACACAGACG